ACAAACTAAGAATTTTATTTAACAGAATTAAATGCAGGAATACCATCTGGTGCAGCCCCATTATTACTCTATAATGAGTGAGTGAGTGAATGAAGAAATATACTGGTCTGATCACCAACTATGACAACCTCGGTGAAACTTACAAGCTCGGGCATGGTACATATAAACCCTGACACAAACATGACCCTGGATTCAAACCAATAGTACAAGGTTCCTTGCGACCAATGTACGATGTTACTCTGCACAGCGAGTTGTAGAATCTTAGACGACTGAACAACGCTGAAGGACCAAGCTGTATAATCAAAGTGAATCTGTTATTTGACCACATGACTACCAGATTATGGCACTTGATGAGATAATAATTGTGACTCTGATTCAACCATATGACCAGCAGTTCCTGGCACTCAGGGGGAGATAATCATTGTGACTCAAGCTAAGGGAGAGAACTCCTTGAGTTCAGGTCCCTCTGAGAACAATGTCTATGCCCAATTGGGCTGCCATTGCAGAAACATATTCTGTTTTAGTTAAACTAGTCCACAATTTATATGTTACCCTAAATCCATACACGGATTAATTCCTCACTAATATATACAGATTGTCATGATGAAATTTGTTTTGAAAATAGTAAAATTCCTAAATATTACCTGTCTTCTCCGAAGTTTCAACGCCCACCCACACATGAAACATGACACCCAATCAGTTCTAGCTGTTATTGGTTTGTCTACGTCAGACATGTCTATACAGGTCAACTATTCCAGTCTCCTCACTCATTCAGCAAAGGTACATCACATCTGGTCCTGTCATATATGACGATATAAACAAAATAATCTATCTGTGAGCAAATCATACTTCTACATAATGCTGTCATGAAATCTACAACAATCGGGTTTAAACAATAACAAGACCATTGACTTTCATAAAAGTGAGATAAATGACTAGATAAAACACTGTTAAATATCTACATGATTTTATACATCCACATTTAATGCAACTGGTCCTTCGGTCCTTACACCAAAGGTTAATATCTGACGTGTAAGATGTCCTGTCATCATGCTAATATGAAACCGTCCAAAACATGAGGTTGTTTAATACTGATCTATTAAACCAGATTACAAGGTATGGTTTCTGTGAGACAGCATAATGTATTAGTATTAGACAGCAAAATGTGTATGTTTGCAAACTGTGAGATCTTGGTGCTAATACTGAATTCATATGAAGGCACTTGACAGAGGTACAGTCTTCAAAGATTTGACTATGTATTAAGACATACCGAACCCATCAGAAACAATCATTGGGATATACTTTAGGCATGCTAGTGGTTTGTGTAATAAATAACAAAAGTCATAATTAGTGGGAATAACAAGTGGTACAGGAAAATGTTAGACTTAATATCCTGACTATTCTGCTAAAATAATAATGGGCAGCATCTCACAGTGAAAGCCTCACTGGACTGGACTAGAACTTGACAAAATGGCAGCTGGTGTACGACGTATCTTCATTGTGAGCCCTGTGGGCCAACAGTGACAACCTAAAGTCGAGTAAAGTCACGGTTGGTTTGTTGTTTAATGCCAGTCAGCAATATTCCAGTTGTATGGCGGCGGTCTGTAAATAACTGAGTTGGGATGAGACAATCCAGTGATCAACATCATGAGCATCAATCTACGCAATTGGGATACGATGACATGTGTCAACCAAGTCAGCGAGTCTGACCACCCGATCCCCTCTTACGACAAGCATGGGTTACTGAAGACCAATATCTACACAGGTCTTTCAGTGTTCTTTAACACTGTACCCAGCAATATTAAAATTGTACGTGCACATACCATATAACAGACATATCTGAAGCATCAGACATCTCTCACCTTCCTGGGCCTGTTTCCACATAGGTTTGAGTCACACTTGTCAAACACCAGATGAAGTACAAGAGTTCTCCAGATGAAGTAAACGAGTACTTCAAGAATACTCCATGTCTAGGGAAGTATAAGACTTCTGACTACCATGTTGGATGAAGTTTAATAATGACTCTTAGTCTCTATTGAACATCTGATGAGGTAGAAGCATATGACTACAATATGTTTGATGAAGACTAGGGGTAAGTTTTATCACATCAGTTGCAATACTTGAGTAACGACAATACACTACACCACCTCCGTGGAGTTGGTCCAGGTCTGGAGTATTTCAACAATGCAGACATCATGCATGTAAGTAATATGGTTTGGCTCTAGTCCACACAGACTGATGAACCATTTCTCACTGAAACAGGGTCTTGGATTCATTTGCAGAAATTTCAGCTTTGTTCTCATGCATATTTTTGGCATATCATTGTTGACGGCGTAGGGTCAGACATGATTGTTTTTCACAATAACTTGCTGAGCTGAGACAACCAATCACCTAAAACAGGACAGTGAGATTAATTCCCATAGTCTATGAAAAAAATTCAGGCATTAAATAAATGCGTAAAACATGTCATAGGTGGGATAACACATTCTCAGTAAAGTACAGACTCTAGTCTTTTTTGTTGGGTTGAGTATCTCCCAGGATTCAAACCCACACTCTCAGGCTGAGGCACCTAATGGCCAGCACACAAAGTCAGCCGTCTAACCCACTCAGCCACCACATCAGTACTTTACTGAGAAAGTGTAATCCCAAATATAACATGTGTTGCATTTGATCACTTTCTAAATGACATTATCCTATCTCATGTAGGAATGTCTATCTCTGATTGGTTCACAAGACCTTGAACAAATTACCATGTATGCCCAGTGCACGGCTATACACTGCCCAAGCGGGTTATAAATGTTTGCAAGGGAGAATAAATCATATATACCCCGGCCCATGGAAAAAGCATGCTACCATGGCAGTCAGTGAACCGTGAAACAGTGGTTCGGATCCACTAGTCAGTACCATGTTAGTAAAATATATGACTGAATTTCAATTTGTTTTAATGTTATATTTACTTAATGTGAGATTTAAACGTTCGGTAAGATAAATTTGTTAAAGCATTGTGATTCGGGGTATACATGGTTTTATGCGTCCCTCGTTTTTAGATATAACCAAACACGGGATGCATAAAACCCTGTATACCCTGATCACAAACCTACAACTTATATTGTGTATTAAACAAACATGAAACATTGCTTATCACAGTTCAGATGTTGCCTTATGTGGATTCATCAGAATATACAATAACGAAATGCAAGATGACTCCACATAAAGCTGCTGCAGTGCAATGAGTACTGGGAACCAGTCTTCATAAGTACCTCCCTGACCTATCACCTGACACACTGACAAACACCTTGTCTTGGCTGGATTTAGTCAATGATTTATGGTGGTTGTATTCAGAGATACACTAAACAGAAAATGCATCCACAAAAAAAAGTAAAAAACATGAAGTATACAATAGATCAAAACAAAATCACCATAAAATGAAAAGCTACCAATACAATTCTGAGCTTGTTCTGTGAAGAAATTCAGACACATCTGAGTAATACCATCCTGTTGTACTATGTGTTCCCTGAGTTTCAAAAATCTGTGATTCACTCTCAGTCTTTTTCAAATTGAAACTGAAAACTTAAAACAAGTTTCAAGAAGTGTAAGAGTAAAACTTTTTTACGTGATCCTGCACAACGAGAAGCTAGTGAACAATTAAGGCACCTGCATTCATGAGATCGTGTTACTTGGACATTCACCTTGCCCAGAGAAAAGCGAACATATCAGTGTACATCAGATGGTTACATAACTTTGTCCCAAGACCTAAAAAGAATTGTCTTGTTTGATGAATAAACCAGGAAACTCAATACAATATAACACAAATATTCTTGTTGGAACAGATCAGAAATATGCTACTTTGGACATCATATTGTTTGCATTTTTTCACAACAATATATTATCAAAAAGTATTGTTTTTTTCACAAAATTAAACTGTAATTAACCTTGACAACATTCTTAAGTCATTCTTAATTACAACTTAATTAGCTCTCTGTTTCATGGTATGATAGCCTGTAAAACCAAGCTAAATGTTGGTCAGCACAGAAGTTCATATATACCTCTGTCATCTGTCGAACTGTGGACACAGCTTGAGAACCAAGTCCCAGTAGTTAGAATACAATATGAGAAAATGTCACCTGTTTTAACAATAAATGTTATAGTCTTGGCCAAACTAACATGCTACAGCATGCTACAGAGAGTCTGTGTGACTGTATCACAGTGACGCTAGTCTACATGATATAGAGATCAGTAGCTGAAGTGTTCACACGGAATATACCTATAGACCTTCATGAATAGGTTGTAGGGATATACCTATAGACCTTCATGAATAGGTTGTAGGGATATACCCATAGACCTTCATGAATAGTTTAATGAATATACCTATAGACCTTCATGAATAGGTTGTAGGGATATACCTATAGACCTTCATGAATAGGTTGTAGGGATATACCTATAGACCTTCATGAATAGGTTGTAGGGATATACCCATAGACCTTCATGAATAGGTTGTAGGGATATACCCATAGACCTTCATGAATAGTTTAATGAATATACCCATAGACCTTCATTAGGTTGTAGGGATATACCTATAGACTTCATTCATAATAGGTTTAATGAATATACCTATATGAATAGGTTGTAGGGATATACCTATAGACCTTCATGAATAGGTTGTAGGGATATACCAACATACTTTCATGAATAGGTTGTGAGGGTATGACCTTCATGAATAGGTTGTAGGATATACCAACATACTTTCATGATATAGGGATATACCCATACCTTCATGAATATGTACCTATCTTCATGAATAGGTTGTAGAATATACCCACATATATGAATAGGTTAAAGGAACATTCCCATAGACCTTCATGAATAGGTTGTAGGGATATATCCACATACTTTCATGAATATGTTTCAGGAATATACCCACATATGAATAGGTTAAAGGAACATTCCCATAGACCTTCATCAATAGTTTAATGAATATACCCATAGATCTTCATGAATAGGTTAAAGGCACATTCCCATAGACCTTCATGAATAGGTTAAAGGCACATTCCCATAGACCTTCATGAATAGGTTAAAGGCATATTCCCATAGACCTTCATCAATAGTTTAATGAATATACCCATAGATCTTCATGAATAGGTTAATGAATATACCCACAGACCTTTATGAATAGGTTATAGACTATACCCATAGACCTTCAAGAATAGTTTAATGAATATACCAAGAGACCTTCATGAAAGCTCATATTAAACACCACTATGAAGACTATGTGTTTTTCTCCACTATTTCTGATGTCTTGATAAACAGTGACGTTGCCTGCTCCATCACGACGTCCCGCTTCCACCACATAACCGCTGCCATCGTTGCCACCACTGATACAGACAGGAGCCGCATGACACGTGACCTGCACTTTAACCGGGCTTTGGAAGAAGTAAGTACCAGATCTGGAGGATCCAGATTCAATCTTTTCATTTCCTGTAACAGGCAAGATAATCATCAGCAACATCTACACTAGTATTCTTATCACACAATATATATATGACATTATTAAAACTTTATTTAAGTGATAGTTATTATGGGTCACAATGTTTAAAGTTTTGAGTGTGGGTTGTGGCTCACATCTCGCATCATATATGTTCAATGGTAATAGTATTTTTAGCGGTACACCTTTTTGATAGCACTTCAGAGTTGCCTTCCCTTCCGATCGTATGTTCGAGAAAATCCTGTAACGTTCTGAGAGAATAATGATGGAGCCAAGCTTTGCTAGAATGCTCGAGAACCGTGTAAGAGCTATATAAAGGCTGATTGTTGTGTAGTGCGATGGGACTTGTCACATCACTGGAGTTATACACATCTGTCTGCCATCATCGAGCTGCTCAACATTTCAAGACTGACCCTGCTTGCCTATTCAACTGCTGTCATTGTAAACAACCTTCAATCAGTATATCTGTTCTCACTGTAAACGTCAAGACTCTGGTGAGTTATTATTTTATATTTATGACCCAATATTTGTGACTCAGTTGTACTAGAAATCTCTATTGTCATTCATTGTAGCTTGCTCATTGTTTGTTCAATATATTATTGAATATTTTAGACTTGTCTGTGTTCTATTTTGCTGGTTCAAAGGGGACTTTTAAGCCTTTTGTGACAGGAGATTATTAACCATAACACAATAAGAAGACAACTTCCTGGTGTATAGTTATAAGTGTCTCACCATCACCTACACTATGTCAGGGTCATCCTTAAGTGCAGAAATGTCACCTTCAGGTACTGGTAAGCAGAAATTCGTTGACCTAATATGTTCGTATATGTTAGGTCGTATATGTTCTCACAAAGTGTTACAAACTCTCCACAAAACTGTCATCTATTTAATTGACTTCCATACAACCAATGAGACTCCCAAAGTTAACCCATGCCAGAGTTAATGCCCAGTATTTTCATATTAATGTATTTGATGGCCATTTGTTTAACAAGAATGACATAACAGTTGTATTTGTGTATGGATGTGAACTCACAACAAAATTATTTTAGTAATTCCAAAAGTCGCATCACAGTTCGATGAGCGATAGATTATGGACGATGACTGACAGACGCAGCACTATTGCATAAACTCAACCCGTTGTGTTAATAAACATGGATATGTCTAGTCTAGTCCTCATGATAATATCAAAATATTCAGAACAGTGCTTACATTGCAAGTCCAACTGCATCACAAGATCATTATTTATCTCCGACACAAAGTTCATTTTTCAAACCAAAGATTCATCAACAACTGATGATAGTCATAGGTGTCTAGAAATACACCCTGCTTATCTGGATGTAGCAAATTAAGGATAACACCTTGCATCTAACACTTAATCATTACAGTTATGAAAATAAACATAATTCTTCGAACTACAAAAAAAACATCAAATATCATAAACTTCAGCCTCCTACAGATTCGTAGAGAGTGATTCTACAACAATATGGAATGGCAATATGACAAATGACATTAAAAAGAATAATAAATTGTCTTCATACCACATTTAGGCAACTGTGTAATCGACTAATTTCCTTTGCCAAGGCGTCAAGATTTTTCGAGGCATCTTGTGTATGCTTGTGAAGCTGCCTTGGCCCGGTGCCATCCTTGGAGAGAAAAAAGAGCACAGAAATAAGCACCTGTCTATCACACAGTTTAACAAGCTACAGAAAGCAAAACATCCCCCAGACCTTACCCTGACAAAAAACACAGGTAGATCACACACTGCAGGTAGGATAATGTCTTGCCTGTCGCGGATCTACGATGTCACACTGAAACCATATATAGCAAAACATCTCACAGCCGTGACAGAAAGCACATGGGCTCATATGAGTGAATTTTACCTTGCTCACATAGCCTGTTCAGACAGATATTGCTGAAGCTGTTGAGGTTGTAATACTCACCAAATGGCTTTAAAAAGCTGTTTAATTTGGGAGCGGGTTTGAAAGCACCTGTTTCATTAGTTAGAGCAAGGGTCCAAGTTTCCCTATGATCTTGATAGCACACAACTCTGTATATAGAGACCTTGTCATGAGTACAGCTAAAAGCCTTAAAGCTGTAACACATACAAAAGCTATCTTGCATTTCCAAATGTTTAATTGAACATCACTATCAAGAATATTGCATGAAGTATCTAAGTTGTGACACATGGAGGGATGTTTTGAATTTCCAAAAGTCGTTTTGAAAGTCATGTACCTGCTGCTTTTAACTGTCAGTTCCTATGGCAAATATGTTCAAAGCTGAGACACTACCACACAGATCCAGAAGAGTGAGTGAGTGAGTATGGTTTTACGCCGCTTTTAGCAATATTCCAGCAATACATGGCGGGAGACACCAGAAATGGGCTTCACACATTGTACCCATGTTGGGAATCGAACCTTGTTCTTCAGCGTGACGAGCGAACACTTTAACCATTAGGTTACCCCACCGCACCGCAGATCCATCAGAACATGTGGATACGTGAAGAGCGAGTGAGTGAGTTTAGCTTTATGCCACACTCAGCAATACTCCAGCTATATGGCGGCGGTCTGTAAATAATTGAGTCTGGACCAGACAATCCAGTGATCAACATCATGAGCATTGATCAGCGCAATTGGAAACCGATGGCATGTGTCAACCAAGTCAGCAAGCCTGACCACCCGATCCCGGGATCTGTGAAGACATACGACCTAAACATAATGCCACTCAAACAATACTGGAGCCTGTCCTTATTCTATAGATTTGCATAACCACTAGAAAAATAGTTGCAAGTACTTTCAATACAAAAGTAGCATGTCCATCGTCTTTTCTAGAGTGAGTGAGTGTGTGAGTCTTTTAGCGACATTCCAGCAATATCACATCGGGGAACACCAGAAATGGGCTTCACACATTGTACCCATGTGGTGAATCGAACCCGGACCTTGGTGTGACAAGCAAACGCTTCAACCTCTGGGCTACCCAACCACCCCTGCTTCCTAGCTGGCTCCAGAACTAGATACCACAACTCAGTGTTACTATTACCTTTGGTTTGGTGAAATGCATTCCTACAACTCTCTCATACTAGTAACAGTGCTTTGCCTCTAACATAACATGATAGACAACCAAAATGGATTTCTGCTCTAATGACATCACTTCCTGTTTGGTAAAGACATTTCTAATAGAGTAGAAGTATGAAGACAGTCGAATGGACTAATTACCTAACCATGAAGTTTATAACACACTACATGCACACCCCACTAAAACTCAATAATAAGTGCATTTATAATGCGCTACACTCCATTCACTAGGTGACTGCTCATAGCACTAACACACCACAGCACATTATTACCCCGGATAACCCGCTAGAAGGTTAATAGTCACATGACTTATCTCACTGGGTACCCATTTTCTGCTGGGTGAACAGAGGCATATTTGAACAAACTCACTTGCCTAAGGTGAGACCACATGTATCACATGTGCTTCATTGTGGGGCAGGACTGAAGTCCAAGAAACTCTCAGGAGTCTAGCTGACAAACATGGTCACCCATCCAAGGACTCTCCATGCCCAACATGGCTTAACTTCAACTGATTTGTGACCTGAGCTCTATGCACAGGACCACACACCACCATCATTGAGATAGCAACATAATTGAGATAGAAGGCTTTATGGTGGTATCATTGAAGTATCAACATTGGGCTTACCTTAACATAGGACCAGCATTATTGAGCTAGCGTCATTGAGGTATATCATTGAGGCATCAACATTGGGCTTGCCTAGGCATCTTTGGGGAAGCAACATAGGACCAGCATTAATGAGGTAGCGTCATTGAGGTAGTATCATTGAGGCAGCAATAAAGGAACTTACCCTGGCATCATTGAGTATTTGTGGGTGGGCTCTGATCTGTTCTCGCACGTATACCACTGTGCTGCCGATGTAACGCAGGTGCTTGGAGATGTTGGCCACCATAGCCATGGCATCTGGGCAGCTGAAACATGCACATGGTTGTTAACATGTCTGTTCCACACACTATAAGCAATGTTCCAGCCATATGATGTGGATTGTAAATAGTGGAGTTGGGATCACCCATCCAGTGATTGATATCATGAGGAACAATCTATCCAAATGGTATACGATTAAAAACAAAGTCAGAAGTCTGATCACTCAATCCTGTTTATAGCCCTCTTAAAACAAGCATGGACTGCCACTGTCTACATGAATTTGGACAGGTGGCATGTCATCAGGTAATGTATCCTTATCTGAGTGACCCCTGAAAATCCGGGAAGGAATTGGCCTTCAGTAATCCATGCTTGTCGTAAGATGCAACTAAAGGTATCAGGTGGTCAGGCTCGCTGACTTCATTGACACATGTCATCGTATCCCAACGATGCTCGTGCTGTTGATAGTACATTGTCTGGACCAGACTTGATTATTTACAGACAGCTGCCATATAGTTTGAATAGAGTGGTGTTAAACAAGAAAGAATGTGTGTGTCTGTTTGGTTTTATTCAGCCTTTAGCAATATTCCAGCAATATCACGGCGGGAGACACCAGAAATAGACTCCACAAAATGTACTGATGTGGGGAATCGAACCAGGGTCTTCGAAGTGACGAGTGAAAGCATTACCCACAAGGCTAACCCCATTGTCCTAAACAAGAAAGTAATGAACAAACTTATCTCTGTGAAAAGTGTGGGGATTTCCCAATCATGCTGAAGGGACTGTTTACATACAATACTCAATATTATCACACAATGGATTGCGTTCTAGGCAGGATAAAGCCAACAGGTATTTTTGGTATCCATTTGGGTCATATACTGATATTGCTGCAAATTAGAGAGGTCATATGCAAATTTTAGTGTCTACTTTCACATGGCATCACATCCATCTATCGGCTAAATACAATGTATATTCCTAATGCAGAATATTAACCATCCCAAAACACACTTGCGTAATAACCTATATTTCCACACCCTTGATTCCACTTAGAGGCAACTATGAACACACAATGCCTTTTAGAAGGTGGTCAAATGCAAGATACATAATATTTGGGGTTACACTTTCTTAATTAAGTACAGATTCCAGGGTTTTTTTTAACCACTTTCTAAAGGGCATAATTGTGTATTCATAGCGTTGGCTGTTGGAGACGTGTCAGTTTACACTGGTTTAGTTAGAGGGATAAAGAAAGTATATATCTTGACTTCTAGGACTTCCATTTTGTGGAAGCGGCTGTGGCTGAGTGGGTCAGATGGCTGGCTTTGCGTGTTGGGGATTAGGTGCCTGACTCTGAGAGTGTGGGTTTGAATCCAGGATAGTACACCTCCCCCACCCTTCAAACAGTACTACATACTGTACTTAACTTCAGAAAGTGTACATGTTAATGTTGCTGATGTTATGAGAAATATTTCTGTCTACTATGGAATTGATTACAGTAGTTGCAATCAGCATCTGCTGGATGTATAATGAACTTTGGATCAGACAAACCAGAGGTTGATAGAGTGAGCATCCTTCCATGCTATTGGGGTACTGTCAAAGCTACCACAGGTATGGATGTTGAGATACTGGTTGTAGGTGTCACCTGTACCACAGTACTTGTATTACTTTGTCAGATAGAAACACAAGCATGGAGTCATGCAAGCCTACAACAGTGGGGAAAACCACAGACCGGTACTGTCCTGGCAAACCATAGAATCTGTCCTGTTTCCCAGGGAAACAATCAATGAATTATATTTATACTGGTTCCAAAGAACACAAACTGGAAATTCTACACAAAAGGAATACATACAACTGAACACACAGTTATCACATCAAGTGGGGAGAGCTAAGGGAGAGAACTCTGCAGGTTAAGAAGTGGTAAATGTATCTACTGCCCCCTGTTTCAGATTAATGAAACCATGCAAGATCCAAGAGTGAGTGAGTGAGTTAATGGGTTAGTGAGTGGTTTCACACCACTTCGACCTGTATTTCCCTTGTGTCTGTGTGACAGCTTGATAAAGGTGGAAAGCCTAAGACTAAGAGATGCAGGGACAGGATATGTACCACCTTTAAGGTGCTGACAACATACAAACATTATCCCACCATACTGAGATTCAAACCAATGATTATAGGTTCCTGGCAACATTAAGGGAAGCAACTCTGCACAAATGGCCCCTTACTGCCAGAGTTGAACATTCAGTGTATTCCTCAGTGTTTACTATTGAGCGACACCACACTGGCTCACACATGGGATAAGTTGGTAACAGTGATTCTGTTATATCTTACGATTTAAGCGATGTTAACTTACTTGCACCAGGTGCAACCTAAGATAAAAACATAGTTGCACCAGCCAAATTCCTGTTGCACTGCTTTTATTGCATTGAATTATTTAGATGTTTTATTCAGAAGTTTACCCACTCACTCAAAAAGTTAGACTAATAACTAGGTTGCATTTTATAATATTGGGTTGCACCAGTGCAAGTAACAAAGCACTAAATCGAGCCCTGTCTTAGCATGCCTTAAAGCTGGTAACACTGTAGACACACTGTAGGTAACAGTGAGGGCATATCTGGGATTCAAGCCCCGAACAGAGGATACAAATGACATTGCAAATTAGTGAACTGTGGTAGACAACCTGCATCCATGTGAACTCATGTTCTATGCACTGCTATACGTAAATAATATAACTGACAGTAGAAACTGTTGTAAAAATGTTTGTAGTAATCACCAGTGGATCAAATACATCAAGCACTATTAATACATATACAGTGCTGTTGTGACCAAGTTTCAACAGCTGTTTGCAGTAGAATGTGTAATTTAGAGTTATCTGCCCCTGACTGTTTACATCAACAAGGGAGGATTGATCATTTGAGACATTTATGGTAACAAAGTTTCTAGGACAGCTTTACCTCTATGAAAGTGAAAATATGTTCTTTCCGGGCATGTTGCTATAATCTACTTAAGTGTAAATAACTGTGTGTAAGCATATAATCCTCCCAGGTTATTACACTATTTGTGAATTCAAGAACAGTGAGGTCCCTTTCAATCTTTCAATGCACCAACAATCATGCATGTAGACAGGGTTGCAGCAATAGGCATGTGGGGTGTGTGTCCCAACTTATGATACATTTCTGTAACAAAAGGGTGTTTCTTTTTCCAACTGTGTGCGTGGGATTAGCTAGATAGCGAAACTGAGTGTGCAGTTTGTGTCATGCTCACCCAATGTGTTTGTTGTACTGTACAGAGATGAGGCTGGAAGTGTCCCACTCCTTCTTGTGGACCACCTCTATAGCATCCAGCAGCTTCTTGCGTACTCCTATTTGTGTGATCCCCATCTGTGGAGGGAGGCAGACATAGGACATGAGTGACAACTGATGACTTTGTAACTTGCCACTATTCACCCAGCAGTGAATGGGTACCCAGTAGAATGACATGGTAATGTTAGTGTTTACATTCCAGCTCTTTTTCTTTCATTTCAAACAAAAATATCTATTATTGGCAAAGGTTCATGTCACCTGTATCATGACATCATTGAAATTCTTGTGAATAAAGTGTACCGTGGTACATGTTGCCAGCCAGTAGACATCTGGTAGTTCACAGTACTAACTTTGGACAAATGTTGGACACTAATATTCAGGCCTGACACCAAGTTATTTCTCACCAACCAGCACTTGTGAATCTACTGACTGTTAGTTTTGCATAAAATATTATCACATTTACTCACATTTATCAAATCTTGTTCGTTGAAGCGAAGAAAGTTGAAAAAGTCAACATGTTGATCCTTAAAGAGAGGAATGAGGTGTCCGACCTCAAGGCCATAGAGGAACACTTCCAGCTCTCCATACCGCTCATCAACAGGTCTGTAACCATGGCAACAGGTGAATAACTACATCTGTGGAGTGTTTTGTCAATGCTGACATTGTAATATGGCACTGATGTTGGTCAGCCGACTGCAGTAGCACACTCACCAACATGTAAAGCAATGAAATAAAACATATCTTTTTGTAGAAATGAGGTTCAATATTTCATAATATCATGTCCATTAATATACCAAGCCAGCATTACCCAAAGGCCCTTCCATGACAGATGTCTTCCTGCCCACTGTACCATGAGTCCTAAGTGAGAGTCAGTTTAGTTTTACGCCGCTTTTAGCAATATTCCTGCAATATCACGACAGGGGACACACAAAATGGGCTTGACACATTGTACCCATGTGGGGAATTGAACCCGGGTCTTGGGCGTGATGAGCGAACACTTTAACCAGTAGGCCACCCCAGCGGCCAATCAGTTCTAAGGGAAGTATGGGGAGACAATAATGACATGTAGAAGGTGTATCTTGCAACACCAGGTGTCACAGGTGTCATAGAGGTCATGTTGGGCAAAGAGTACTGAAGACGCTACAAGATCTTCATTGTCCACTTAGGACTTCTTTAGTAGGAGCCCTGTGCCATATGTAATGCAGGTATATAAAGTAGACAGAATAATGGTGCATTTTCTATGCTTGAGGAAATGTGGTAAAACATTACTGGAAACATTGTGGTCATACAGACATTTTAGGTTGAAGTTGTTGCATACGAAAGTGAAATGGGATGGTCTGAGTGTTCTACTGGATAAAACATGTGCCAGAAGAGCAGATCTTTGATCTAAGGTCTTTGCATTGGTTGACAGCCATGTTCTACCAAAAGACATTAGACATTTCAATACAAATTAAGCCTCTTCCACATTTTTTGGTCCTCTAATCACTGGACTATCAAATTAGCTATAGCAATTTTCATGAAATATCAACTATGTACATCCTATTTGGGAAAATTTACTGAAAACTGGTGCAGAGTTGGAGCTGAATATCACCAGGTCTGAGCAGGTCTGGATAAATCCTTGAACACATACACATTCTAGTATCTGGATGGTGCTTCAGCTTCACTAGGGTTTCCATCCATCAAAGACATAGTTGCTATGACAACGACATGATTATTTATAATAAATCAGATTGACTTACTTGTCTACAGGGATTAAGTCTCCTTCGGGTGGGGGCGGCTTCACCCTCTGCTTCTGTACCACAGCTGGTTCTCCACCTGACATGGGGTGCCCGTTCATTACAACTGGCGTCGGGACTGGCCTTTCATAGGGCTTGCCTTGTATCAAACAGACCGTCTGGAATAGAAGTTGCATTCAGCTACGTCAGGTGAGTTAAAGATATTTACTTTTGCTCAGTTTGGTTTTCAGTTTTAACAATTCAGCTGCCTGGCTATGTAACATGAAAATATTCACCAAAAACATAACAAACCAAGAGATAGGTTATCATAACACAAAGGCCTTCACAAATCTCCCAGCCACTTGTCACATGGACTTTTTATTTACAATCTACATACCAGATGTATCTGTTTACAAAATCTAGAAGTTCAAACAAAGACTTTAAACAGTAAATAGAATCTTTCATTTCATCAAACACCCGTTAAGATCCAGGTCAGAATTGGTCTTCAGTAACCCATGCTTGCCTAAGATGCAACTAATGGGATCAGTTGGTCAGACTTGCTGACTTGGTTGACATGTCATTGTATCCCAATTGCGTAGATTAATGTTTATGTTGTTGATCATTGGATTGTCAGGTTCAGACTCAATTATTTATGTACAGCTACCATATAGCTGGAATATTGCTGAGTGAGACATAAAACTAAACAAATATATAACAAAACTCAACAAGTCTCAGAATTTTCAAATTTTATGACAAAAAAATTATCAAGTAACGATTGGATGAATTCTCTATGGCTTGATTACCTCATCATTCAATGCAATGTCCACTGCCCTCTGACCATCGGAGTGTTTGAGATTGAGGTCAGCTCCCCTGTCCAACAGGAGCTTCACAGCCTTCAGATGCCCCTTGGAAGCAGCCCACGACATGGCCTGGATAGCAGAAAAACACAGGAGTTGGGTTGACAAAGCTCTGAACAGTTTTCCAGTCAGATCACAGCGCTTTAGTTTAATGTGGGAGGATGTGATGCAGGTCTGAGACTTCACCATGTACCTAAAACCATAGGTCTGGTGCTGGCAAACCTAGAAACGTAATGGAATCCAACCAGGACTCCTACCTCTCCACAGAAAACTGTGGCAACTTTATGGACTAGGCCACTGGTGCTCTGGTCAAAAGAAAACCTCAAACCACTTACTGTCAATCCCCGCGAGTCCTGCCGGTTCATCTCAGCCCCTTGACCAATGAGGTAATCCATGACAGTCACGTGACCTTCCCGAAGCAGCACACATCAGCGGAGATACGTGGTATCTACAAACGACACAGTAGATACCCATGAGGGACATTGCCTAGATGTACTTGCAAGTCTTCACAAACACAGGGCAGCCCCTTCACTGCCATTTGACAGTTGTTATGTGTACTGATGTATTATTGAATATGTGGTGTCTACGTATGTGCAATGCATTCAATTGTGTACTCCATTACTTCATCTCCACTCATAACACAATGCTCCCAGAGCCTTAACCTAGAGTACATGGTAAATTATTCACCACACAAGAATATAAGAGAGTTATCTCCCACAGGTTTGTGACTCCTGTTGCAAGCAACCACTTTCATGGCTTGTATAGTAAGGTGAGGTGAGGTGAAATTGGGTTTAACGTCGTGCTTGAGAATATTTCGCACTCATATGATGACGTGCATGCGTGTGTGTGTGTGTGTGTGCGGCTGCTTGTACTAGCCCAGACTTAAGCTGGTTTTATAGTGCTAGCCCACTGAGATACCATGCCGCAGTGAAGCATGAATACCCCACTCAGACACATTATACTGACTCCGAGCCAACCAGTCCTTGTTGTACCCATAAATGCCCAGCGCCAGGCAGGGACCAACAAGTACCATATTTTAACGTCTTTTGGTATGACGCGGTCGGGGATAGAACCCGTGACCTTCCGCTCTCCGGGCGGACGCTCTAACCACTACACCACGGAGGCGGTCGGCTTGTATAGTAAGATATTGGGGACCACACTTATCCCCAATTCTTCCATGTGAAAATATTACACAGAGTAATAAAAGGAAAAGTTCATCAAAGATATTGATCCCCAGATGATGAGATGAACAATCATGTGAACACAACATTCTTTTTTTCTGTTGTGTCTTTAAGAATATGTGAGTATAATGGTGGGAGTGAATTCAGGAAGGGAGACAACTCTATACCTGTCTCTGACATTGACATCAGCCCCTGCTTCAACAAGAACCTGCACACACTCCAGGATGGAGTCGTTAACCTCTCGGTTAGATGAGCAGGCAGACATTAACACAGTGTAGAAATCTGAAAATATACATCATTTGATCTGATGTAAAATATTGTTTGCTTGTTAAGTTCATGTTTTGCTTCATGCATCACTGTTCTTGCTATATGATGACAACTGTAAACAGTTGTGTTTGGACCAGACAATCTAGATCGCACAAATACAGGTATCACATCACCCAAAGATTGACACCACAACCAGCAGATCCTGACAAGATTGAAGGAGACCACACTGGACGCAAGTTGCCAATCAGAAATCTAGGTTGTTATATGAGAACTAGGTTCATGAATGTTGTTCATTAGTGATATGGAAACTAGGTAGCATTCAGATGTTGATCTTCGCTTAATGGTTTTGCCAGCATTGCCAACATTGGGACAATGTCCGAATGCTATCTGGGTAATGTATTACATAACTTATCTCATTACAGCAAAAAGTAATCTGTTATATTCAGTGCCATTATCATCAAAAGGCTACTACTAAAGTTCTTAACAAGACATAATAATATCTGACATTTGTTTACATTTCTACTTGTTCCTACATACACCGAATTCATTTACACCATTAAGTCAATAACATGATCTTATAATACAGACAAGGCTTGTCAAGTTGTGCTCATGACTCTCAAACAATATGTTGTGAGTCATGAAGACAGTCTCCATAGACTACTTGAAAATCCAGCTATAAAATAACTATGATATTGGGACAGGGACTAAAGCCTACCTTTATCAAAGTTTGGATTAGCTCCCTTGTCCAGCAGACATCTCACAAGTTTGGGATTTGCTGAGTTGGCCGCATACATGAGGGCGGTCCACCCACATTTCAATATTTCATCAACATTCATTCCTGAAACATTACCAAAAGAAAAGACAATAAGGTGAAACAAACAAAACACCATATATACATGATATAGTATTGGAGTATTTCAGAATTTGTAAGAGTGAGAGTGCCACTTTAAAAAGTTTTCCAGTTCCAACATGCAGTCATAGGTTTCTGGCAGTTCCAAGGGATGCAACTCTGCATAGCTGATTATGTGAGTTGAGACGACTGGGCACCAACATCCCTAATTGTATTTATATAACCATTGGAGAGATCAAACCAAGCAGGTCTTGTTTCAAGATACCTTTGTGAAGACAATTTCAAAGTACACAATGACTCGACCTGTATTTACATATCACAAGTCAACTAACTAAACTTCGTTAAGGTGTAATTAACAATGTATTATCATCAGAGATACGCCCTTATGGCACCAATGTCTAAAAAACAAAAGAATCTTAAGGACATTATCATTATTATAAATGTCCAAGAAAGTCCTGAAACCCTATGACACTCATGCTTGGTTTCAGCTGGACATATTTTGTGGTTCCAGTGATAATTTCAAAATGTCTTACAGGTATGACTTACAAAATGTATACACAAATACATTTGTAGCATTATGTTGCATTCAGCAATATTTCAGCCATATGACACTTGCCTATAAATACTCGAGTCTGGATCAGAAAATCCAGTGAGTGATAATATGTACAACAATGCATGCCGTCAAACAAGTCACCTGATCTACTAGTTGCCTCAAACAACCAGGCTGATGGGAACCCATTGTAACCTGTGTACTTGAGAGTACAAAGGAATCAAATATAGAAGTACATTATTTGATGTTCTGTTCATATCCATTCAGCATTCACTAACCCTGTTGTAGACACTGCTCCACCACATCAGCGTGGCCCCTCATAGCTGCAGCTTGGAAGTCGTCCTTTGACTGCATGTCCTTCTTTGGCATTTGTGAAGAAAGTGGGATGCCAAACCCATTTTGAACTTGCCTCTGGATATAAAAATATGTTGATATGTTGAAAATTTATCGGCATGATAAAAAATGGATTTCATCAATTTGATGGAGCATTTTCCTCAAATCATTACTGATTTTATGTTAAGAATTCATTTCACTGATACATGACAATACTGATCATGCTGATTATAGATTATCAATACTTCAACAAAACAGTGACTTCATAAGCATGGTTATATTTGCTGAGCTGAAATTTGTAGCATATTTCATTAAGAGTATATCTTGTGCCATTCATTGTTGGCAGAAAAAGCATACAACTTTTTAGAAGCATCTTGCAATTGTCATAACTGTATCATTCTTTACATATTATCTCATGAGAGTAACAATGGTAACAGTAAGCTTAGATGAGCAGTCTTGCATAACATTTTACTTTTAGGCTGAACTGCAAAAATTATGACGGTTTCTTTTTACTTTATAAGTTAACAGTGTAAGTAGCTAAATTCTGCTAATACATCTAGAGGGTATTTTAGTAGACAATGATCATTATCATTATCATGATTATATGACCTAGAAAGTGAAGCAGTCTGAAGATCTCCATGATTTTCCTTAAACTTGCTAAAGATCAAATATCCTAAATTTGCATGGTTGTTACTGGCAGACATATTGCTTATACACATATTTTAAAAACAAAAGAATAGCATAGAGACTTGTATATATTTTAATAAAAAAGAATTCTTAAAATAGCTGTTATTTTGCAGAAGACTGGGTCGAGGAAGACATAACAGAAAAGTTAGTAAACTAAAAACAAATTAGTGTTAATATTTCATGTTTTGAAGCCATCTCATCGTAGACTGTTATTAGACACCAAGCACTGCCATCAAACACATTACTGTTATGACTAAAACACAAACTGTCACACACTGTTATACTCAATTTTTTTAGCACCCTCAGAAGTTTCACTTTTGGTATTCACCAGGTGAATTATCAACATAGCAATTTGTCATATAATTTAGACATGCAGGGCTCCAGATAAAGGCCGTATCGGTGTATGTACGGATACAAACTATGCACAATATGATAGGAAATAATTTAGGAAACGTAGCAAATAAGATCCACAACAATGGTGTACGGTCTTAACATCATTTACAGACGTATTTATCTGGAAAAGTATTGTATTATTGTTTATTGACCTGTATACACAAGCCTAGCAATGATGTGGTGCATATATGAAACGGGAACACGACAAAATGGCCACACTGACCCTAGTCAAAATGGCCACACAAAAAAGTCAAAATGGCCACAACCCCTAGTCAAAATTGCCATACCAAAAAAGTCAAAATGGCCAAAGAAAAAGTCAAAATGGCCATACATTATTTTCTTTCATATTAATGAGTATTGTTCTTGAAATGCTTTCTTAATTGATACTTTGAGATTGTTACTTATTTAATTTTGAGATGTTTTTTTTGTCCTGTACTTTGAGATGTTTTCTTATGCAATACATTGAGCTGTTTAAGTACTCTCGCAATGTTTACTTAATTAATACTTTCAGATGTTACTTCAAAACACTTTGATCATTGGGTAGTGTTTTGATAACATGTTCAAGCGGGTTGACATGTGAACCAGCGGGTTAGTGAGTGAGTTTAGTTCACACAATTCATTTGTAGTGAGTTATTCAATTTCTTACATAAACTTGCATGCTATAATAATGTTGGAACTGACAGTTTTCATCATCATTTCCAAAACTTCAGTTATGGCAAATGCACAATAAATTTCTTCCTACTTCTTGTAGTGGAAGAATGGTTATATGTTTATTGTGAACAAGAAGAAAAGGGGAGAATGGACTTAACCTCTCATCCCATAGAGTCTGGTAAACTTCAGGAGTCACAAGTGAAGATGAAGGTAAGATGCATAGGTATTAAAAAAATGACCACTTATCCTTTAACTGGCTCGTTAACTACTAATCAACATGCGATTACATACATTGTGTCACCTTAACTAAGCTGTGAATCCAGAAGTGCCCCGTTAACTAATTAAGCCATAATTGATCAATTAATTGTTAATCTCTGTGTTTGTTGTAATTGTTCTTATACTCTTTAGGTCATCTTTATGTGAGATCTGAGGTTTTGAAAATACTTCTTGCTTTGAAAATGTTGCTTTCTCAAATATTTAGTGTCACTCAGGAAAGGTACACCTAACTTTAAGGTATATGGCGAGTTTGGTAGATTCCCACTTGTAAATGTTATTAAAAGCAGAATGGTATGTTTGGGGGCTAAACTTATAACCGGAAAATCATCAAAATTATGCTTCTTAATATATAAATTAATATTCAACAATTATATATTTGGCAAGTGAGGACATAAATGGATAATCTATCTTGAGTATTTTTCGACTATCAAATATTATTATATTAACAAATAATGTGCATGTACATGAAGAAAAACTACATTTATCTGATTTGTTGAAAATATGATTTGTTGATGTGTAATAAACATCAAGTTTTGATATAACTAACTTTTTTGTCAGTTTTACCTTGATATCACATAATGCACATGGAAAATGTTATGAGTATTAAAAAAAATAATAAAAAATGGTGGCTTTTGATATGGCCATTTTGACTTTTGATTTTCAATAGGGTTTGTGGCCATAACTAGCATCAGGAAACTTACTGATACCCCATTAAATTTCATTCAATTACTCTAATGTACTAAGTTTTCCAGAACTCCTATATGAAAAATAAGGAGTAAGGTGCGTCTCCTATTCTCGCGGGTTTCCATAAACACGTTTTCTGCCAGAAATCGCCGATGCGTGACACTTAGCGGTTGTTTACACCGACTGTTAGGAAGTGGCCCAAGTCTGTGCGTATCAAAAATCTTGCAGTGTCGAATATTGGGAGTTTATAGCCTATATCATTAGGCCCGCCGCCCTTTCCGGGAGGATTGCTCTTATACACTTATTAGGTAATACCGTTCTGTCCTATTTGTTTATAGGCTCACGATTGGAAATTGGTGCAGCTATAAATGTATGATATCTATCAAAAGCATTAATTTGTTTGTGTTAAGCCGATATCCGTAAGTGCGATTTCCTACGTACTCCTGATGTTGAAAATTATCTGGATATTAAGAAATTACGACGACTTGATATAGCATAGGCATAAGGCATCAGGACGTAAGATGTGTTATCAGCTGACGACGAATAAGATAATGGCATAATCTATATCTGAATATTGTCATTGACTTCACTTACTCGATTCGTATTACTTGTGGGACCCTTTTCAACAGGACCAAGGAGCCTTGGCTTTTCATCAACCTGCACGTCTTCATTTCCTAGCATGAAATCATCTTCATCGAAGTCTTCCTCTTCTCCAGCAGCACTGAACAACGCCATTTTTAAAGTACAGGAACGGAGCAAATATTATCCACGAAATGCATTAATTAAAAATCAATAGATGTGACCATTCGCATGACATCACCGATAAATGATGTATGAAACATCCACGGAGATATTTATACACGTTTAATTATTTCTAATCCCATTCTGTAAATGAAACATGATTGTTCATTTGCTGCGAAACTTACTTTCCAAGATGTCGAAGTACATCGCGAAGTTTTCGAGGTTCTCGCAAATAATCAAGGAAAATGGGGGGCCCGTTGCAGCATTCATAAAACTTTACAAGTACGCCTAACCGAAAATGCTTTACATTTCAATCTGTATGGTAGTTATGCTTGTGTGAGCTGCGTAACTCGCATGTCGAAGTAGTAACCTTGATAACCTTGCAATGTCTTAACCCGTAAACTAAAAATGTCACCACTTTGATCACCATAGGATGGCCCAAATTTTACAAATATCATTAACGAATCAATAACGACCTGCGTAAAAGGTATTTTGATTGTTGTTGTTAGCATGTTAGGTTCATTTCTCTGTTTCTGTAGTGCCAGTGCCAACAACGACCCCTTCAGCTACAATACTTAAATACATGATAATGTAAGTTAGAGAATCAAAATTCTTTTTACGTAAATTAGTTACCATTTGTAGTCACTTTAGGGTTGTGAACTAAGCTGAAGCCTATTGAATAAAACAATATGTTGAAACTAATAATGATTTATTAAACGTGCACTGCCACAAGCTGTACTCTGGATTTTAAAGTAACCAATCAAGCACTTTGAGTTTAGTCTCACTTTACATGTTCCTTTCACATTAAGCTGATACACTGTTAAATGGGCTAACTTTCAGTCAGTTTAAAGTGTCAATTATATCTAACACATTCACTCAATCAAGTATTTTTAATTACATTTAAATTTTCAGTCAGTCAGTTTTTGATAAATTGAGGACAACTGCTTGTGACTGTTCATTGGCAACAAATTAATTATGTTTCTTATGATAAATGATTTGGATAAATTGCAAATTGATTCCCAGCACTTGAATTGAAAGTCCTCTGTTCATTGCCAGCATTAAATTCTTGTCATTCCAGGGCAAGAGTCACGATCTTCTGAGGCACAGCAATTTGCTGTTTATTTGCGTATTTGCCAGAAAACCATGATCATGGCTTTTCATATCCCAGATTTGTCTGGAGTCTTTTGTTTGGTTCGTGGTCATCATGATGATACATGATGCTTTGTCATTAAAGGCAGCTCAGTCACTGTGTTGATGCACATAATTAAATTCTAATTGCATGGCTTGATTTTCAAGATGTCAATCACAGGATGGCAGAGCTACAGATAACTTTTTGGGTCATTGAGTTATGTACTCGCTTGTGTTAATCTCAATTGGGTATCCTAATTTTCCTTTGAGTAAACAAATAAACTGTACTCACCTCACTCAAACTCAATTGGGTATTTTGCCGTTTTCCATTAATTTTAAAAATATAAAAAAAGTTTTAATGTTAATGTTTGTTATTTATATTTGATCCGTAATATGAGAAACGATAAGAAAGACTGCAAGTTGTCAAGTTCATGTCTTGAAATAGAACCTCTCAGTATACCTCAGTTATTTTATCTATCCACCGGTACGCAAGCTAAGATTTGACATTTTTGCGTGTACGCATGTAAGATCACATTTATCGAGTATTTACCAAAATTCAAGCGTACTTGTACGCAATAGACTTAATAGGAATTGAGTTTTCACATAAATATTTGCGTAATTTACGCAGATACGCAGCTTATCTGTACCTCTGGGATGGTCTGGTTGATTCAGTTATTTACTGACCAATGGAATATTGCCGATTTCAGCATTAACCATGTTAACAAACAAGCAGAGTAATTTATTCAAGACCTTGCTGACTTCAGATTTTCAGTGACAACACTGAAGTATTGTTAAAAGTGTCATTGTCTTTCTTCTTCCATCAGTGTATGTGAATTGATGACTACAGCCATATTTTCATCTTTCAGGAATGATGAGCTGAAAACTGGTTCCCTTGTAGGGGAAGATAAATTCGGAAACAAATATTTTCAAAACAACATGTACTTCATGGGTGAGTTTTAGCATTGCTGTTTGGTATGTGTAATTGCTGTGACTGATTATTATGACTTTATTTTGATGAAACATAAATCATTCAGTGAGTGAAGGTAAACATTCAACATGCTATGTAAAAAAATATACAGTTCACTAGATTCCAAATGTTCATTTGGATGAAGATGTATCATGGCTTGATGGGGTGAATATTTGTGTATCCAGGGCGGAGTCGATGGGTGGAGTATAGCCCAGCAGTCAACATGGACTATGACGCCAGCCAGATACCTGCAGAATGGTACGTGACTGCTTACAAGGAAACACCCTTCATAAACCAAGTAACTGACTATATAGTATAAATCGACAAGTGAGGAAAGAGGCTCGCAATATTGATCACTGGTTTGGATATTATATTACAAGCTGTTGTCATTTGCTAGAATATTGTTGAGTGCAGCAAAATTAGCAGCCAACAAACCCCAGATCTTGAAGTTTTCCTCTTGCCCCAATACTTCTAAAACCTGGCTAATGTATTTGAACAAATTCTGGTCACTTGACCCTTCAGTATCCATGCCAATCTAAAGTTTCAGTTACCATGGTTACCAGTAGAATTGGTTGTATTTACGCCAAGTCAGATTGGCTGAAATCTCTAACGTTGGTATGAAGAATAAGGGATGTCCGTCTAAATGTTGATTTTGTCCACAGGCACCACTGGCTCCACTACATCGCAGACGAACCTCCAACACAACAACCTCCCATACAGAGGAAGTGGATGGCAGAACACACAGAGAACTTTTCCGCAACATCAGATGAATATGTACCCTACAGTACAGCTAAACCTAAAGTACAAGCTTGGACACCATCCAAGAAGTAAATAGGATTTGTGTGGTAGAAAGAATGTGATGTGTAAATTTCAGCTGTGTCAAGAACGTTTCTTACAAAGATGAGATCTTTGATCTTTGTTTAAACTGTCATCTGGAGATCAGTGGATTTCTTCTGCGTAAAATAGGTTTATTTAATAAAATGTTTCATTGTGTATTTGCTAGTTTGTTTGGTGTACTGGTGCCTAAAATTAAACGGTTGGGTTTAATGCCTTTCAAAAAGTATTTCAATGACATGTCAGCATAATGTATTCTGAAAACATTGATGCACATCGTAGAGTACTTTTACACACTCAAGAACAGGCATGGTACAGATAAGAATCCATATAGAAGCAGATTCTGGCACAACTAAGGGATGTAACTCTGCACAGCAAATTGCAGTGACTCAACTCTGAGGGCTTCTAATGCCTCCTGTTGAGCAGTCTTGGGAGGTGGTAGCCTCATGCTCATTGTGAGAAAGGTGCTGTTGGTTGTGGAGGAAGTTTTCGCTTGTCACACAGAGATCCTGCGTTCAGTTCAACAAATGGGTAGATTATGTGAAGCCTGTTTCTGGTGTCCCGCGCTGTGATATTGCTGCATTAGTTCTAAAGTGCTATAAAACAAAACCTGTGATTGATCTCCAACATGGGTATGGTTGTCGACAGCGCTTTTGAAAGTGTGGAAACTAAAAGGCCTTACAGAATATTATTATCAGGAATGCCTACACATTATCTGTAAGTTTGTGAGGTGAGGTGAAATTGGGTTTTACGTCGTGCTTGAGAATATTTCGCTCATATGACGACGTGCATGCGTGTGTATGTGTATGTGTATGTGTGTCTGCTTGTACTAGCCCAGACTGAAGCTGGTTTTATAGTGCTAGCCTACTGAGATACCATGCTGCAGTGAAGCATGAATACCCCACTCAGACACATTATACTGACTCCGAGCCGACCAGTCCTTGTTGTACCTATTAATGCCGAGCGCCAGGCAGGGACCAGCAAGTACCATATTTTAACGTCTTTTGGTATGACGCGGTCGGGGATCGAACCCGCGACCTTCCGCTCTCCGGGCGGACGCTCTAACCACTACACCACGGAGGCGGTCTGTAAGTTTGTGAAATGAATTTCAGAAATAGCCTTCACACATTGTACCATGTGGGGAATTGATCCCGGGTCTTCAGCCTGAGGAGTGAATGTTTGAACCAGGAGGCTATCCCAACTGCCCCAGAGTATTTGAAGTACTGATGTATTTATGGTGATATTTGAACACAGACACCCAAATAATCTGTTGTCAAGTTTATTTGCACTGGCACTGATTGTATGTACATGACACAGTCTTGTAATCATAAGAATTAGGGACAAAGAAAATAAAGTATTATAAAGGCATCCAAGTAGCCAAATGATGTAAATCTGAATCCAAACTTATGCTATTTATCAGAATGAGATGTGAATGAAGAAAAATGGAATCTTTGAAGCAACGTAAGTACAGCCACAGGTCAGTTCTAAGTAGCAGGTATCTTTTACTGTGATCTACAAAATGAACAACATGACAAATATACTAAGTGCAATTCATAGAAGGATCTACAACTGCCAGCATCTATGGAATGTGGACATTACTGCTTTCCTCACCACTACTGAGCTATACTACAAACAAATCTGGTGACAGTGTATGAGGAAGGAGGTTTGCATCATAATCATGCTGATTCCCTTAAGAGATCCAGACTGACCTGGTGTTTGGTATACTGTGACATACACTGGCTCTAAACAGGACTGCCCGACCTGTGATGTTGCTGGAATATTGCTAAAAGCGGCATAAAACCAAACTCAGTCAGTCTAAACAGGACTGACCTATTAATAGAAGAATTAAGGCAGCTGGAATTAGACTAATGTTCACATGCGTTGTGCAATTTTCACAGGAGTGAATAAAGGGCAAATGAAATCACTTCAGACAAAGCAGGAACAGTTTCGAGGGTAACTGCAACAATACTGTTATATTTCAAAAACATAATGTCTTGAGTCCTTAACCTAAAACAATACTTATTATAAACTTGCTTAAGATTTAATATGTTTTTGCTACTCCTACGAAAAAGTGTCCCATTATAGACAGGTGGGGGTTAAACATCATACCAAACACAAGACATACCATCCTGTTCCTGTGTGGAACAGAGGGCTTTGGGTCAGTGAAGTGATTAATTGTGATCCAAATGTGATTCTGATATGATCTATACATCATCAAGATGTGATTCAAATGTGATCAAGACATGATTCAGATATGATCCAGATGTGCCCAAATGTGATACATTCAAGTTATGTGATATACACTCATGTACATCTCAGTCATTGTGAGATGAGAACTGAAATAAACTGATGATTGCAAACCTCTGCAAAGTTCAGCACCACCTGAAGTGATTTCATTTAACCACATTCTTCACTTGTTTGCTTGCTTACATGCATATTTTCCTACAGGTCAAATAGAGCGTAACATTTATGTGGAAGTCAACATCCCAGTGTGAGGGTGACATTTTGCGGAGATATGCTTGCCCATCTGTGCCTTGGTCAGCTGTGCAGGAACATCCATGACAACACGTTCCACCATGTCTATGTTTATTCATTCATACATCAAGTTTTTCGTTTTAGTATTGCAATTCTTGGTTTGGTAATAATCTCTAATGGTGGAAACTCATTCCATTTAAAACCAAGTTTTTGGAAGGCTGGAACTTCCATGATATTATAATGAGAGTTTTCGTAAGGCTTGAGTTCTTCCATGGAGTCTGACAGACCCAACAGGAGATGGGTGAAGCTCCTCATCGCTACGCCACCTGGTTGCAGGCCCTCCGTCTTGTTGTACCTGGAACAAGATTTATCAATTATCTTTAATCATTCCAGGAATCTAGTTGGCTCGTCGTCACCTTCAGTATTGACTGTTCTGTTTGTTGGTTGGTTGGTTGGTTAATGCAGCAGTCAGCAATATTCCAGCTACATGGTGGTGCTCAGTAGATAATTGAGCCCAGCCGGGACAATCCAGTGATTGACATCATGAGCATTGATCTACCCAACTGGGATCCTATGACATGTGTCAACCAGGTTAGTTAGCCCGACCACATGATCCTATTAGTCGCCTCTTACACATTAGTAACCTAAATCTGCACAGGGTGTCTTCTGTGAAGTGTCCTTGACTGCAGCTGGACTCGATGAGAACACTACAAGACCAAAGACTTGACACAAATAATCGTAATTTTGATGTGAATATTGATACATTTGAGCATTATTTCATTTAATGATGGCCTGTCGGCTTATCGTGGGAGGAACCACAAAGTGATGCTCATCTCAGATTGTTACCACTTAAGTAAAACCTTGGTGCTCTGTAAAACTTTGGTGCCATCAAAGCAAATCATAGAGACCGTCATGCTCTGCAAACCAAGGGGTGTGAGATGACTGGTGCCCCCTACTGGGCAAAGGGTCCCCAGCCATTCATGCAGGTCACACGAGTCAACGAAATGGATATGGTAGTCAAGGCTCGGCTGATGGCATGTCATTGTACCCGATACTGTTGACTGTTGCTCAATCACTGGATTGTCTTGTCTTCACATAAATGTGTTGCAGGATACCGCCACATGACCATAGTGTTGCTGTGTGCAGCAGTACAGCACAAGCAAAACAAGAGTCATCAGAAGATGACATATCCCCCCGGCCCCCACATCTTTGAAAGAACAAATCATCTGACAGTTACTTAAAGTCCAGCTTGATTTTAGACTAAGTGCAAATCGTTTCAAAGGAAATCATGAAAAACATAAATGACAAAAATCTGCAAATAGCAAAAGGCACCACTTTGGGATCTGCCTAACATATCTGCCAAGTTTTGCTGAAAGATATTAAGAAGTTTTCGAGTTGTGCTCTGCAAATGAAACCTACCCCTCCTTTTTGAGACTAAGTCCGAATCGTTTCCATGGAAACCAAGAAATTAATAAATCACAAAAATCTGCAAATAGCAAAAGGCACCACTTAAGGTTCTGTTTGATATATCTACCAAGTGTTGTTGAAAAATATTGAAAGTTTTTTGAGTTATGCTCCAGAAACGAAGCCCACCCCTCTTTAAGACTAAGTCCAAAACGTTTCCATGGAAACCGAGAAAAATAAAAATGACAATAATCTGTAAATAGCAAAAGGGCCCCACCTTAGGTTATGTTTGACATATCTACCAATTTTTGTAGAAAAATATCGAACGGTCTTTGAGTTATGCTCCGGAAACAAAATGATTATGGACGGACGGACAGACGGACAAGGCGACGACTATATCCCCCCACATTACATGCCGGGGGGATAACAAACTTTTACATAAAACACAGAATGTGAGATACCCCTTGCACCGAATCACCTACCTCCAGTGGTCATGGGTCTGAGTGAACCTGGTCACTCCGGTCTGTGCAGGGTAGACACCTATGTGGACGTTCACATCTGAAACATCAACACTTGCTTGAGAAACCATTGTGGAATTATTGTGTTGTAATCAGTATCCGATGCTTGTCTTGTAAAGGCCATTAAGTTAGCCCCACTAAAACTGGTCCCAAGTATTGAAATTTGTGACCTGAGGACTTGATGTTTATTACTTGAGGTCTGTGGATGCACAGTGGTATCATGTCAGAATGATTTTATCTAAATGAGAGAAAATATATAGATGGCATAAAATTGTGTTACATAACAAATTTTAGCTACCAAGAGCTACCTACCACGTTCCACCTCCACGTGGTGCAGCACCAGCATTGCTAGGCCCCCTGGGTAGTTACCAACAGCTACCTACCACGTTCCACCTCCACGTGGTGCAGCACCAGCATTGCTAGGCCCCCTGGGTAGTTACCAACAGCTACCTACCACGTTCCACCTCCACGTGGTGCAGCACCAGCATCGCTAGGCCCCCTGGGTAGTTACCAACAGCTACCTACCACGTTCCACCTCCACGTGGTGCAGCACCAGTATCACTAGGCCCCCTGGGTAGTTACCAACAGCTACCTACCACGCTCCACCTCCCGCGTGGTGCAACACCAGCATCGCTAGGCCCCTGGGTAGTTACCAAGAGCTACCTACCACGTTCCACCTCCACGCGGTGCAGCACCAGCATCGCTAGGCCCCCTGGGTAGTTACCAACAGCTACCTACCACGTTCCACCTCCACGTGGTGCAGCACCAGTATCACTAGGCCCCCTGGGTAGTTACCAAGAGCTACCTACCACGTTCCACCTCCACGTGGTGCAGAACCAGCATCGCTAGGCCCCCTGGGTAGTTACCAAGAGCTACCTACCACGTTCCACCTCCACGTGGTGCAGCACCAGCATCGCTAGGCCCCCTGGGTAGTTACCAAGAGCTACCTACCACGTTCCACCTCCACGTGGTGCAGCACCAGTATCACTAGGCCCCCTGGGTAGTTACCAAGAGCTACCTACCACGTTCCACCTCCAGGTGGTGCAGAACCAGTATCACTAGGCCCCCTGGGTAGTTACCAAGAGCTACCTACCACGTTCCACCTCCAGGTGGTGCAGAACCAGCATCGCTAGGCCCCCTGGGTAGTTCTGGCGGGAGATGTACAGAAAACCTGCTGTGGAACAAAGGTTGCCTAGCAACAAACAAGAGGTGCCAAGGGCCAGCAGTGACCGTTGAATGGACTTCGATTGGTTCTGCCATCTGAAAACATGAATCAGTACTGGAGTCGCAAATCTAGTCCCTGATCATGAGACAAAGGAATGGTTCAGACAAAATGGCTACTGTCAGATAGAATGATAAGATTCATAAATGACCCATATCTTGATATGTAAAGTATGTAAAGTGTACTGTCCTGATTACTAGAGTGTCATACAAAGCGATCTTAGCGCTAAGTTGACCGTAACTCCCACACCGTAACATAAACCTAAGGTAGTCTTAGCTCTAAGGTGACCGTAACTCCCACACCGTAACATAGACCTAAGGTAGTCTTAGCGCTAAGGTGACCGTAACTCCCACACCGTAACATAGACCTAAGGTAGTCTTAGCTCTAAGGTGACCGTAACTCCCACACCTTAACATAGACCTAAGGTAGTCTTAGCGCTAAGGTGACCGTAACTCCCACACCTTAACATAGACCTAAGGTAGTCTTAGCGCTAAGTTGACCGTAACTCCCACACCTTAACATAGACCTAAGGTAGTCTTAGCTAAGTTGACCATAACTCCCACACCTTAACATAGACCTAAAGGTAGTCTTAGCTTAAGTTGACCGTAACTCCCACACCTTAACATAGACCTAAGGTAGTCTTAGCTAAGTTGACCGTAACTCCACACCTTAACATAGACCTAAGGTAGTCTTAGCGCTAAGTTGACCGTAACTCCCACACCTTAACATAGACCTAAGGTAGTCTTAGAAGCTAAGTTGACCGTAACTCCCACACCTTAACATAGACCTAAGGTAGTCTTAGCTAAGGTGACCGTAACTCCCACACCTTAACATAGACCTAAGGTAGTCTTAGCGCTAAGGTGACCGTAACTCCCACACCTTAACATAGACCTAAGGTAGTCTTAGCGCTAAGGTGACCGTAACTCCCACACCTTAACATAGACCTAAGGTAGTCTTAGCGCTAAGGTGACCGTGAACTCCATACCTTAACATAGACCTAAGGTAGTCTTAGCTGGCTAAGGTGACCGTAACTCCCACACCTTAACATAGACCTAAGGTAGTCTTAACGCTAAGGTGACCGTAACTCCCACACCTTAACATAGACCTAAGGTAGTCTTAACGCTAAGGTGACCGTAACTCCCACACCTTAACATAGACCTAAGGTAGTCTTAGCGCTAAGGTTGTTTAGTACTACAGCACCCTGCTGATTACTCACAAAGAATGGGAGGCAAGTGATGTGCAGATGGGTTTGGGGGCAGCCGATACTGTGTCCTTTGTCATGTGATTAGCATCAGTTTCATCACTATGTATCTTTTTGACTGAAGACCATTTTCTTTGGGATGAAATATGGCATTAAACAGACCTAGCTGAAGAGTGAATTCATTCCATTCTGTGCTCAAATTCATAACATGAACTTTCATTTTCCTTTCACAAAAAAAACAATATTATGGATAGATTTTACATGAAATACATAGCTACTGAAACTGTACATTGAAGTATCTAGTGGGTCAAGAGTGAGTGAGTGTTGGGTTTTACGCTGCTTTTAGCAATATTCCAGCAATATCACAGCAGGGGACCCCAGAAATGCGCTTCACACATTGTGTTCATGTGGGGAATCAAACCCTGGCCCTCAGTGTGAGGGGCGAATGCTTTAACTACTAGGCTACCCCACTGCCCCAAATGGGTCAAGAGTTTACGTGGCAGAGGGGTAGCATAGTGATTAAAGTCGTCATGTTGAAGACACAGGTTATATTCAAGCCCATTTCTGGTATCCTGCGCTGTGATATTGCTCGAATATTGCTAAAAGAGGCATAAAACCACTCATTCACATGTCACAACAAAAGACTATGCCTACAATGACTTACAGTCGAGACAGGGCACATGCGATCGCCACGTTGAGCACAGGGAACACATAGATGATGAAACGTAGCTCCTTGTGAGGCAGGAAGGAGTACAGCAGTACAAAGGTCAAGGCCGGCCAGAGTAGCGTCCACACCTGCCGTGTGAAGTATAGTCCGACGGGATGAGGAAGATACTGAAGGAGAGTGCACGTGGCAGGGCGGAGTAGAAGTACCACAGGAACGGTGATGTCTGATCCAGTCAGGGAATCTTAACATCGATTTTCACTCTTCTGCATGAACTTTGTAGCAATTAAATTGGCTCAAGAGGAAACTGTGTTCATCCCTTCATTGATTTACCGTCTCTTTGAACAGTACACAGTCATGACTACATGTCAGTTTGTTTTGAAAGAAATGCTCCAATTGACAAAACTGGGACGTTTTACTCACTCTTAAGAAATCCTGTGTCTGAAGTAAATGTAAAATGTTCATAAACCAAGGAATATCTGAGATTGAAACCCATGCCAAGGGGATCTTGAAACATCTAAGGGGCATAACTCTGCAAAACAAGTTGCAGCAGCCCAAACAATAACAGTTCTCTATATCTGATTCTGAACAGCAGATTCCAATTTTGAGTTGTTGTGGATGGCGTCTATTGTGCTTAACATTCATTCTATCAAAAATGATACGATGACGGTCTATGACTATATAGGTATTTAACTCTCCCCATGTGTTTAACTCTCCCCATGTGTGTTTCCATAAGCGTGTCTGTATAAGTACACAGTGACAAGGATACCCCCCAGTCTGAACTTTTGTTGAGGACAGTGTTGTACCACAACACCTCCCCTTCTGGCCACAACCATCGCTGCCACATCACGGAGTCGACACATACTGTGAGAGCTGAAACACAAAACACAGGAAGTTACAAACTATATTGCCTGTATAATAGGTCTCCTGCCATCTCGTAGTTACAGTGGCCTGTTGTGACCCACCTAGTATTGTATTGCCTGTATACTAGGTCTCCTGCCATTTTTTGCGTAGAGACAGTGGGCTGTTGTGACTCACCTGGTAACACTGGGCTGCTATAACTCTCCTGGTAACACTGGGCTGCTCTGACTCACCTGGTAACACTGGGCTGCTATGACACACCTAGTAACATGGCTGCTATGACTCACCTGGTAACATGGCTGCTATGACTCACCTGGTAACACTGGGCTGCTATGACTCACCTAGTAACATGGCTGCTATGACTCACCTGGTAACAGTGGGCTGCTATGACTCACCTGGTAACACTGGGCTGCTATGACTCACCTAGTAACATGGCTGCTATGACTCACCTAGTAACATGGCTGTTGTGACTCACCTAGTAACATGGCTGCTGTGACTCACCTAGTAACATGGCTGTTGTGACTCACCTGGTAACACTGGGCTGCTATGACTCACCTAGTAACATGGCTGCTATGACTCACCTAGTAACATGGCTGCTATGACTCACCTAGTAACACTGGGCTGTTGTGACTCACCTAGTAACATGGCTGTTGTGACTCACCTGGTAACACTGGGCTGCTATGACTCACCTAGTAACATGGCTGCTATGACTCACCTAGTAACATGGCTGCTATGACTCACCTAGTAACATGGCTGTTGTGACTCACCTGGTAACACTGGGCTGCTATGACTCACCTAGTAACATGGCTGCTATGACTCACCTAGTAACATGGCTGCTATGACTCACCTAGTAACATGGCTGTTGTGACTCACCTGGTAACACTGGGCTGCTATGACTCACCTGGTAACACTGGGCTGCTATGACTCACCTAGTAACATGGCTGTTGTGACTCACCTGGTAACATTGGGCTGCTATGACTCACCTAGTAACATGGCTGTTGTGACTCACCTGGTAACACTGGGCTGCTATGACTCACCTGGTAACACTGGGCTGCTATGACTCACCTAGTAACATGGCTGCTATCACTCACCTAGTAACATGGCTGCTATCACTCACCTAGTAACATGGCTGCTATGACTCACCTAGTAACATGCCTGTTGTGACGCACCTAGTAACATGGCTGTTGTGACTCACCTGGTAACACTGGGCTGCTATGACTCACCTAGTAACATGGCTGCTATGACTCACCTAGTAACATGGCTGCTATGACTCACCTAGTAACATGGCTGTTGTGACTCACCTGGTAACACTGGGCTGCTATGACTCACCTAGTAACATGGCTGCTATGACTCACCTAGTAACATGGCTGCTATGACTCACCTAGTAACATGCCTGTTGTGACTCACTTAGTAACACTGGGCTGCTATGACTCACCTAGTAACATGGCTGCTAGAACTCACCTAGTAACAACAGGCTGCTATGACTCACCTAGTAACATGGCTGCTGTGACTCACCTAGTAAAACTAGACTGCTATGACTCACCTAGTAACATGGCTGCTATGACTCACCTAGTAACATGCCTGTTGTGACACACCTAGTAACATGGCTGTTGTGGCACACCTAGTAACATGGCTGCTATGACTCACCTAGTAACATGCCTGTTGGGACACACCTAGTAACACTGGGCTGCTGTGACACACCTAATAACACTGGGCTGCTATGACTCACCTAGTAACATGGCTGCTATGACTCACCTAGTAACATGCCTGTTGTGACACACCTAGTAACATGGCTGTTGTGACACACCTAGTAACATGGCTGTTGTGACTCACCTGGTAACACTGGGCTGCTATGACTCACCTAGTAACACTGGGCTGCTATGACTCACCTAGTAACATGGCTGCTATGACTCACCTAGTAACATGGCTGCTATGACACACCTAGTAACATGGCTGCTATGACTCACCTAGTAACATGGCTGCTATGACTCACCTAGTAACATGGCTGCTATGACACACCTAGTAACACTGGGCTGCTGTGATCCCCTTTAACACTGGGCTGCTATGACTCACCTAGAAACACCAGACTCCTATAACTCACCTAGTAACAACAGGCTGCTATGACTCACCTAGTAACATGGCTGCTGTGACTCACCTAGTAAAACTAGACTGCTATGACTCACCTAGTAACAATGGGCTGCTGTGATCCACTTAGTAACACTGGGCTGCTATGACTCACCTAGAAACACCAGACTCCTATAACTCACCTAGTAACAACAGGCTGCTATGACTCACCTAGTAACATGGCTGCTGTGACTCACCTAGTAACAATGGGCTGCTATGATTCACCTAGTAACAGTGGGCCTATGATCACTCACCTAGTAACATGGCTGCTATGACTCACCTAGTAACACTGGGCCTATGATCACTCACCTAGTAACACTGGGCCTGCGATTAAGACGGTGGTGAAGAATCTGCGGAGTGGCATCCGCCCCATGACCAGGTCTGCCAGCAGGATGAGGCCGAGGAACATGGTGAGCTCCGCACGGAAGATGATAATGGCTGCTCCGGAGTACCACAAGAACTGACTGTGCTGTTGTCTCAGCCAGCTGGACAGTGCCTGGAGGACTGATAGATTCCTATGGTTACTGACCACTTCCTATGGTAGACAGACATCATGATATTTGTATTTGTGAGTCACGTAGCAGACACTTTAGTCTGTATACATGCAAAACGTAACTGTAGGTACTGCTGAGATCATAGAGATAGATGAGTAATAAATTGTAATGTTGCACAGAAACTTACGCAATAGTTTATTGATACTGAAATTGAATTTTTTAGCCAATTAATTCAAGAACTCAAATCATTATCTCTATTACTTTCTGATTTTGGTGATTCATAATAACACATGCAAAGAGATGCAGATATGTCTGTATCTACAGTTAGAAGCTTGTGTTACCTAGAACAAGAGCAAACACATTGGGCAGGAGTCTGGACATGTACAACATGAAGTGGAACTAACATTGAAAATCATCAACAATTTTCCCAATTAATGATATGTCCAATTATCGATGTTTTTAGCTAGCTCATTCAAGAACTCAAATTGTTGTCTCTATTATTTCATGATTCATAATCAAACATGCAAACCGATGTAGATACGTCTGTATCTATAGCTAGAAGCTTGTGTGTTACCTAGGACAAGAGCGAACACATTAGGCAGTGGTCTGGACATGTAGAACATGAAGTGGAACTGTGTGATGGTGGTGGCCATCAACCAGAACTTCACACCGGGACCGAACCGGGTCTGAACTGCCCTGCAGAATGTCAGGAAGCTTACCGACACAATAAACCCGAGACAACCACGAACTGGAACAAAAAAGTTTGGCAATAATACACAGTATATACTAGTGTTGGGAATTGGTTGAGATCTCACAATTGATGATTGGTTCAATACCAACGACCAATCATCGAAAAAAATTGGTTAGCGTCAATTTTTAGATTTTCCTATTCAGGTTGTAGTTGCAGATAAGTATAAAGAAAAAACATTTGGTTCTCTGTTGTTGTTTTTAGAAACTGCACAAATTACATTTGCAGATTTCACATCCAGTGTAAAATGATTCAGTTCCAGTGTAACATTAACTTCCCAGATTCTTCAAGAAATATTCAGTCATGACTTTTCAGAAAGTGAAGTGAGTTTTCGTAGAAATAGACACGTTTTCAGGCCCTGACAACGTCCTAGATGTGTTCCATCATCAAGTATTTCAAACTCTATTACAGCGGTTCCAAAATCGTTTGTGTTCGATTATGAGAAAATGTGATCGATTGCTTGGTCCTTGGCCACTGCGACCAATCTTCGATTGTTTCAATTAATCGGATCACCACTAGTATATACTAATACAGACACTCAGTTTGGACATGAAAGAACTATGAAATGTTGAGTTCATAAATTAAACTAAACAAGCCCACATTGTTCAAACTGAAATTCCATTTTAATGTTTGACTATCACCATTAATAACAAATGAATGAGTTATGACAACACTATTTAAAGCTCACCAAGATACTGCAGAAAAAGCTTGTTTCCATTGAGGAGCTGAGAAAGGTGAGCCCAAGGGGAGGCAACTGCAGCCACAAACAAGGGCCCCAGAAAACTGCGAGGTACCACACCAGGGAACTCCAGATGGTCATACTGCAGACAGAGGTGATTCATAATGACTACAGACGTATAGTACAACAAGGATTTACCTGGATCCATCTGTGAGTGGGGAGGGAGGAAGGAGTGAGTGAGCATCGTTTTACTCTGCTTTCAGCAATATTCCAACGATATCAAGGTAGGACACACCAGAAATGGGCCTCACACATTGTACCCATGTGGGGAAGCTAGACCCAGTCTGAGATGGCTTGTAATTGAAACCTCATTTGGATGAAAAAGAATAATGTTTCTATCGCCTGACCGACCCAAACTAAGTGTTAGCATGTTCAGTAATATTCACTGTTCTTGCCAAAATAAACACTCATGAAAACATATGTGACAGTTGATCTTGAACATAGCTGTGGTGTTGAAAGACAAATGAGCCCACCATCTTTGTCAATTTTGCAATGCAACGACATCGTAACTAAAGCATCACATCATTCAGGTTTTACCTTAGAAATGTCGAGCCTGTGATGGAGGATGTCATGCAAGGCTTGCATGTTGAAGCTCTCCTCTACCTTGGTATATGGGCACATCATCAGATGGATGGCCATCGCAAGAGGCACTAGGAACTCACTCATTGTCTGCCAGCTGTTGTCCTAAATAAAACAGATGAATAAAATAAATGGGAATGTATACTACAGCATGATTAGTTGAAAAACTTTGTCACTGGTCCAGAAGCCCCCCAAATCCTTTTGACTTTGCATCACCTGGGCTATTCAGCTAGTGAAATGGATACTGCAACATGTGCATTAATTAGATATTATGTTTAATCAATACTGACAAGTATACAAGACAAGCTTAATTCAGTCATTTTCTTCTACAATTTGTCAACCAGGCATGCACCATTACCATGGAAGCAAATGTCATTGATTGTATTGTGTTTGAGAGAGTGAAATGGAATATTTCTGATGGGCATTGTATTTTATAAATATGCTAAATCAGAAGATTTCCTGATAAACTTTCTGGGCTTTCAATGCCAAAGTTAAACAAAGTGTGGCAAAATATCAGCAGAAACCTAACAAAACATAACTAAATCATTTAACGGAATGGTTGATTCCATACCTAGATTTAGTAACATTGATTTTCAAGGAGAAACACCTAATCTGCTCAAATTGTACGAGGTTTTGTCAATAATTTTCTTGCCTATCTTACCCATTGCTTTACAATTCCTAAAGACTGGCACACATTCTTCAAAGTCCACCACGAATATATTACGTTTTCTTAAGTGGATGCAAATTCTTGTTTATCTAAATGCAAAGACATAAAGCTTCTTTTATCCATCTTTGGAAAAAAGGAGCGATATTCTTCCATAGGAAAATCATATTTTTTTTGTAAAAAAATGAAACAAACGTATTTCTTACAGATTTTCTTGGTCAAGTTTGTGAACAAGCTACAAGATATTTCAGTTACCTCATCTGTGTGAGCTTGAAGAAGATATAAGCCATTTTGAAAAAAAGTGAATTAAATACACTTGAACAACCAAGGTCAATACTATACCTTAAGTCTAATTGGCAAGAGATGATCCTATATACCTGGCAGAATTTGAGAACTTTATACCAGACTTAGCTTGCAGGTTACATACTCAGGGATTTACAGGACGCAAATTCCTGCGTCATATACACATAAAAATTGACAATGGACGCAACAAAATTTATTAGCGCATCCACAAGGGACGCAGAAAAAGTCCAAATACTTTCTGTAGAAATTCCAATCAAGAGACAATACTACTACTGCTACTAGCTGGGTTATGGTATTATTTTGCAACTTAATTACTGTAACCATGTGATGATAATGATACACAATACAATAACAGTAACAAGAATTACAACAATATTACAACTTAGTATTAATAACAATAATTAAGTGTCTGGGACCCCCATTTTGTAGTCCAGGACACCTGAAAATTAAGAGTATGAGTCCCAGGGACCCTCAAATACAGGACTCCAGGTAAATCTCTGTATACTTATTAAGCAGTTGATGACATCATCTGTTTGACTCCATACACAGAAACTTCACTTAAGATTTTCCAGATTTACATACTAACCAAATTGTCGGGGCTCAACTGGACATAGGAAATGGGATGTTGAGCACAGTTCTGTGTTTTGAAGTTTTGAACAACTTCACCTGACAATTTAGCAATACGGCTTTAAACTTCCAAGAGAGGCCAGAAATGTTTTTAAGAGCTTATCTGATAACTGAAATACAAACACAACTTTGTATTCATGATGCCTACTACTTTCCATCTTAAACATGTGATACACATGCTGGATTATTGTTGGACAACAACTGAACAAGTGATAACGAGAGACAGTAAAAACCAATGATGCCGTGACTCACTTATGTAAAGAGTCAGAATGTTTTCTTCAATGCACATTGATGCCACATTCCTATACGTATAAATACACGTACTCATAAATCACATAACAGATAATGCAGCTGTTTAATGGTTGTTATTGATTTTTCACTCTCTGACGAAAAAGTGATGCTATGGGCGCAGACATATTGGATTTAGTGAAACTGTGGATTATAACAAACTGATAACACGAATATATATTAAGATAATTATTATTACACAGATACGTACATGTTTCTTTTGTATTAACACATTTAATTTGCTTTTATATTTGTTGAAATATGCGTGAACAATTCCAACACTTTGTTATATAACCTCTTCATATCATTCAATGTTTGATATAATATAATGCCAGTTCCTATTTTACATAAACCAGTAGCCTCGGTTTCAGATGAAAACATTGGCAGCAGCAAAATGGCGTCTGCCTTGTCAGAAGAAGAGTTTCATCGTATGCAGGTACCGTGTTAACTTTCTTCTTCGAACGTGTGCAGTAGCAGTAACAGATAAAACTGTCAAGAAACTTTTACATTATTTAGAGACATGTTTGCGTTATGCTGATGCTCAATCTCAACCTTTTGCCATTCTAAATTTCTGAAAATGTAGTTTATTTTTGTAAATCGCATGATCACTGGTGATTTAAGGTATAGACTGTGGAAACCCTTTCATTACGTATACAAGTGCATTCCGCTGAACTACATCACTGTACATGTCCGCACAAAATCATGATCAAAGCTGGGCAATTTGCCAGAACACTCCGGGTGACGGTGAAGGAAGATTTGTTCATAGAGCATCTAAATCTGGAGTAGGCGTGGCATAGGCTGTCAAACTGCACGAAAATTTTATTTTGATGGAGACAGGACATTTTCATTATTTTATCAGTTTTTGATTGCACATTCTTCGATATCACTACCAATTTCCGTAAAATCTTTGGTGATTTTAATGACAGTTTCCTTGAAACTCAGACACATACAACATGACTCAAATCTTGCAGTTTGTACACTAGCGTAACCTTGATTCATGGATATAGGGAAGTTGTGGCGAAAATAATATTTTAAATGCATGATTTCATTTTGTATGATCACAGATTATTTTTATTCATTGATTCAGCAAATTGAAAGTGCCTAATATTCCACTCGTGAAATGTTTGTTTACCGAAGCCATTTGCGATCATCACCCATTCATGTGCCCACAAAATGTGATGTCACCTTGTTTCGTGGATTACGTAGCTGGTTACTTTATATCACTATCTACGACAGCCCATTGCAGTAAGTATTGACACCTAGGAAAGCAGACAACGAGATGTGAGAAGGTTGGTGCTAACAGTACCTTTTATTTGGCATTTTGTAAGAATAAAATTTGGTATTGGTGGCATTAGTGATTTTGCGCTATATATCTCAGTGCTGGACAATGAGATTTTGTGCATTTACGTGTAATGCAGAAATTCCGAATATTTTTGTCAGCAAGGCGTGGCATTGTATGCACATCAGAAGTACTGCTTCATGACGTCATACAAGACTTTATTTACTAGATAGGTTGATAATTGCTGCGATCCACAAATCAAGGTTATCCATGAATTTAGGCTACGGTTCTGTATGGTGTTATTACCTTTATTATGAAGGTATATTTATATTTTCGCATTGCTTGTGCTGTTATTGCTAATGATCCACTTGTCATTGCAACTGATCCATTTATGATACTTACTATATTTCCTTTCAAAGTAGATCTATTTCGAATTGGATTTGTGGAAGAATCATTGATCATCATCATTCTTTCTAAATGGCATTGTGTATTCATAGCTTTCAGACATGGGAGCTGTGCCAATTTACACTTATCAGAGGGGTACACAAAGTCTGTTGTCTAGCCTACCAGTTGTCTGACCTCCATTTTTGAAAGTCACAGTGGCTGAGCGGGCTAGGCATCTGACTTTGTGTGCTGGCGATTAGGTGCCTGACTCTGAGGGTGTGGGTTCCAATACTGGATGTGACTGAATCCAACAAAAGTACTAGAATCTGTACTTTACTAAGAAAGTGTAATTCCAAATATAACATATGTTACATCATTCATTTAACTCTACCTGAGGGCCAAATTGCCAATTGATGGCAGTTTGAATGAAATCCTGTGAAGATCCGGGTTAGAATTTGCCTTCAACAACCCATGCTTGTTAGATCAGGCGGTCAGGCTTGCTGACTTGGTTGATGCATGTCATGGTATTCTACTTGTGTAGATCAATGCTCATGATGTCAATCACTGGATTGTCTGGTCCAGACTTGAATATTTACAGACCATTGTCATATAGCTGGAATATTGCTGAATACAGTGTTAATAACGAACAAACATGTTTGAAATGATGCTTGTAATATTCAACATGATCTTTTTCAGCTTCAGCTGATAGAGCTGAGGACAACAAACTATGAATTTGAGGGCAAATTGAAGAAAATAGAGAGAGGTATCTACATAATTAACATAATATTTTTAATAATATCTAGAGAACATTTGGACAATTTATGTCAATGCTGAAGTCATTTAACATGTTCTGTAAGATAATGATTCAGTGTTTCTGTTAAAAGGTTTTTTCTAAGATTTTGTTCAAAGTGTCAATGACAAGCAACAACAACATTGGTTTGCCCTAAATTTGGAATGTTGTCTTTTCTTATGTTGGGAAATCGCTTTTTAAATTAATAGATAAGAGTGTAATGAGAAAGTTAGTGTTAAATGCTTTCACAATAACTGGCCTTCTTTTTCGTGTACGACAAGACACTTTTTCAAAGAGTTAACATAAGTTATGAAGTGCAGTATGATTGTTAATAATATGCAAATATTTTCTGACTGTTTCTTCTGACTGGGGACTCCATGGAGACTGCCTAATTACTTGTAAAGTTGAAACAAAATTCATAATCATTGCTTTTCAAAAGGCAAAGGATAAGGTTGTAAAAGACTTGTGAAACTGTTAAACTGTGCATGTCTTGTGTTACAGAGCTCATAAATTCAGCTGAGAAAAATGAAGCACTGGAGAAAGAACTGATTAAAGCCAACAAGGTAATGTTTAATGCCATATATGCAAATTTGTGTTCATTTTGAAACTGTCAGATATTCTGTAATTGATACTACTGGTATGTCATCTTTCACAAATCTTATTTGTCTTTGGCAGGCAATCAACAAGAGCAAGAAAGCTAAGGTAAGATCCTTTCTCAGTACTTCTTGTTCACAAAGATCTGTCTGTCTCTGGTAAAGATGTTAAAGATCCAGATTCTAATTGGTCTTCAGCAACCCATGCTTGTTATAAGAGACGACTGCCCTCATATAGGTGAAATGTTGCTGAGTATGGTGTTAAACAACAAACTAACAAAACATCATATGCATGAATTCATGCAACAGTCCTTTGACCAAAAACATGGTCACCGCTATTTCTTGAAATAATTACAGTGAAACCTGTCTAAACCGGCACCCCACGGGACCGAAATAAAATGCCGGTTTAGACAGGGTGCCGGATTAGACAGGTGCCGGTGTTGGCAGGTTTCACTGTACCTGGTATTTCTATGTATACAATTAAAACTTTCCTAGCAGTGCTGCCCCTTCAAAATCCTGTCAATAATTTTATCTATTGCAAATATTGTGATATTCCACTTGAAAAATTGTGTATAGATAGTCATGACAATCTAGGGCAAGGATGAATTTAGAATAATTACTGTTGATGTTGTAGGAGGTAGAGCTGCTTCTCCAGGAGAGTGATGGACTCCAGAGAAAGCTCCAGAGTCAGGAAGAGGAGTTCCGGCTTCAGAACCAGACTCTCATGCAAGAACTCTCTGCAGTAAGTAACACTATATGCGGCTTTAGAATCAGATTCCAGCAGGAATTCTCCACAGTATGGAAAAGAGTCAAATTTAAGTCCTGAATTATCCTCTTGTCACTAGACTAACGCTTAGTCTCTGAATATATATAATTTTTAAACTGATCCTATCTCATGATTAGCACTTCTCTCTCTTGCTTAGACACTGCGTGGAATGAATGTAAACTTTTCCCTGTAGGCCTCTCTTGTCCATATGCCTGTGTTCTCCAAGCTGCTCTCCTTTTAGGACAGCTGCCTAGTCCCTCATGAAGTGTGCAACACGCTCCCCTACCTACCCACGTGACTACCTCAGAGTGATCATTCTCTTTCTTGTCGCACTACTGTGTGGACTTATTGTGAAAGTTAACATAAGAAATATATCATGGGTAGTTGATCCTAAGTAGCGTAAATTTGTTCACAGTGTGAAACAATTTTTTTTGTTCAAGATCACTGAACCGTCAGCATTCATCGAACTGTTAGCATTCGTCAAATCATCTGTTCCCTGGACCTGGCCTACCATTTGGCAAATCCCCAATGTTGTCTCATGCTACTTCCAACACGGCACATCTTCCCAGCCTACTGGTTCGTCAGAGCCTACCCTACTTCTGTCTGGGATGCCTCCCAAAACGCTCAACCCACATTGAACCTCGTCTTTGTTTTCATAGTTCGGACTATGCCAGCTGCCTTTAAGATGCAGGAATTGTTTTGGTTGATTTGACACACGTGATCGCTTGGTTCGACGACCACCTACAGTGACTTAGAGCAGGATACCAGATGATCTATTTATTATATTCTACATGAAGGATCGGCATTTGTCAACACTGTATTTTTACATCCTTATCTAGGATCGTGAACTTGCATCTAGATATGACCACATTTGTCGAACTATACCAGTTTTCAACACGATCTTAGTATTCAGGGCATTTGTGATGCGCTGAATTCCTCACTACGGAGTGGCATGCTTTAAGCACGACAATCTGACTTGTTTCTCCGGATTACTCTAAGGCCTGTGACTGACTTGAAGATTTTGGTCACATGACTTATTCCACCTGGTACCCTTTTTCTGCTGACTGAACAGAGATCGTACAGATTCACCACACCAAATCAATTCACACAACCGAATTGATTCACCACGCCGAATCGATTCACACGACAGAACCGTTTCACCTGTTCAAGACGGATTTTATCACCCAATCGATTCAGCACTTCAAACTGATTCACACACCCGAATCGATTCACCAAACCGATTCACATGGTGGAACCAATTCACCTTGCCGATCCGCATTCACGATCTCAGATCTCCAAGATGCCCCTTGGTACCTATGTTCATCACAGTATGTGAAAGGTCGCAGTCAGGTTTGGTGACCTTGACCTTCATTTCAAGGTCTCAAGGGGACTTTTACGTTTTATTCTTGTCAGCGAGATATCTCAAGAACTGTTAACTTGATTTTCTTCATATTTGACACCAAGCTTCATCTAGGGAAGGTGCAGGGTCCAGTTGATATTGGTGACCCTCACGTAATTTCAAGGTCACAACGATACTTTGAAGATTTCATCATGTTAACCTGCATATTAAAGCTTGTCAGTGAGATATCTCGAGAACCATTCACTGTATTTTCTTCATATTTGAAACCAAGCTTCATCTAGGGAAGGTGCAAGGTCCAGTTGAATTTAGTGACCTTCATGTATTCTTCAAGGTCACAGTGACACATATCAGAATATTTCAGTTTGTTAACCTACATGTTCACCTTGTCAGCGAGACATCTCATAAAAGATTCACTGTATTTTCTTCATATTTGACACAAAGCATCATCTTGAGAAGTTGCAGGTTGACTGGTCATGCTTTTGTTGACATTTAACTTCATCTTAAATTACAACCTTTACTGAGGGGGACTATGTCACCTTAGTGACAATGCTTGTTATTGAGATATTGCAATTTGTCCCTATACAGATTTGCAGATTGTTAGCTTGTCGTTTTTGCGATGTTGAAGTGTTTCTCGCATACTGACCTCTACTCCACGGACCAATTACATCAGTGTAGTGAGACTTTTCCGATTTCTATGGATTTCGTTGCATTCTGGCTCATAAGTACCCTAGCACATCATTTTGACCTAACTTTGGTAAGTAGTGGAAGTCATGTGGTGTTGTTTTGGTACTGAACCTTGAAACTTGTGAGCTTTCAGGGCCCCTATTCTCGAAAGGATCCTAGCCCTAGGATATCCTAACTTTCCTCCTAGGGTCTGGGATAGGTGTCCTACCTTATTCTCGAAAAATATCCTAGCGCTAGGATATCCTAACTTAGGACAAATACTAGGATAGGTTGTGACTTGTCCTAAGTCTATCTTAGTGGAAGTCAACATGGTGTGGTTCTTGTTTGTTCACCAATTTTGACGTTGTCAAACAAAATAACTCGCCTAAATTACATTTGAATTTACAACAGCACACAGTTTTGATGAGTTAAGAAGAGTTTTTTGTGTATACAATATCAATGTATTGGTAATGAATATACACACTTTTTGCAATGCACATATTCTTTAGATCTACAAAAGAGATTTGTTCAGTTCTTACCTATTCTCGGCCTTTTTAATCACAACTTTACTGTCACATTGCCGTGAAATTTCAATGTCAAAGCCAACTTGATAGGGGAAGTAACTCCTGTATATTTCCTAAGTGATATTTAGGGGAATCCCCAACTTAATTAATGTTTTTCTATCTCACCTTCTGAAGAGCTCGCTATCCTAGCTAGGATCGGTAGCTCAAGTTAGGACAGAGACAGGATCATTTCGAGAATGGGTCTTATCCTAACAGTAGGATGTCATAACTCCTGTCCTAACTAGTAAGGATCTGTCTTAGCTGGGACACTTTCGAGAATAGGCACCTGATTTAGTGTCCTTCTCCCCTCTATGTGATGGGGTTTTGAGGGCTGTTTCAAATCAGAGACTGGCCCGATAACTAGTCGAAAGACTTTAATTATGGGGGTACTCTGAGTTGATTTCCCTACTTCTTGGCCTGAAAACAGTGAAATCCACAATAATAATTTATATTTGGCCCAGATGTCGTTGCGTTAATGATTCATGGACAGAGTAAGACATGAACTGGAAGAAATATATCAGAGCTGAACTTCTATTGTACACTATGTACACATCTTTAATTCCAGTGTAGTAAATTGGTAATATATTTCCAGTCTGTTTCATATTTGTATTTTTGTATTACTTTCAGTAGTTTTTAGTGGTGGTCATATGGACCTGTTTTCTAGAATGTACAGTTTTTACTAGACTCAGACTTGATACTGGTGATTTAGTCACAGACTACATAACTTTGCAGCTGGTAGCCAGAAATGAAGAATTGGAAAAAGAAGCAGTTGAAAAGACACAATCAGGGGGAGATAACTCTACCCAGAAGGAAAGTGACCCAGCACTAGAGGATGAAGTGAGAAGGTTACAGGCCCAGAATGCAGTACTGCAGAAGAATCTGACAGGTGGGCATATACTGTCACAGTGTATTGACTTGGAGCATCATAGGACATACAGTCAAATCCCTAGGCGTCGAATCGCTGGGGACCAAGTAATAAATTCGACTTTAACAATGTATTCGAGACAAAGGTATGTCTATGAGGGTAGAAAAAAAGATGATCCAGTCCTAATTCCTCCGCCTAAGCATTTGTTTATCTAATGATTTCCATATCACTAATAGGGGCACCTTATCAGTTCCAGTCTGATTAGCTTACTTCGGCTTATGTATACAAGATTGCTGTTGTTTGAATCTCATGGGACCAAATTTCCTTCTCGAGTCATTGTGTGTATTTATGAGACGAATTCGTGTAACCGGTATTCAAATGATGACAACTAGAACAGGGAATGGTCAGGACCGACAGGTACTTCGAGTTATGCATAATATTCGAGACACCGGCATTCGACTCATCAGGATTTGACTGTATAGCAATATTACAGTTTTTACCACCGCATTTGGGACCACTCAGAAATGCTACACTACATTCACTCAACCTTCTCTGATGCTTCAAGTACAGATTTAATTCAGGGAACTATGTATATTGTAATATTATCTTGTATTTCTCTTTATTGCATAATGCAATATGTCAATATTTCTTCTGTATCTTTCCATGTTTGAACAGCCGCACAGGAAAAATATGAGCAGCTCTTGAGCCAAGGGATGTCAGATTCTGGTCACGTGACCGGTGTGCGAGAAGCTCCGACGGGCGATGAAGCCAACAGGTAAGGAGCCATATATGTTCTGCCAAGTACATTAAGAAACACAGAGAGTGTTACATTCTTGTGTTGGTGGTTTGATGTATTTTGAGCTGATTCGGAATAATCAGATGACTTAGGAGAAGAAAGACCATGATTTGTAGTTCGAAGTTGGAGCTACCATTGTAATAAATATTTCATGAGTGCCATATGTTATTTAGTCATTCATGAGTGTCATATGTTATTTAGTCAATCATGAGTGTCATATGTTATTTGGTTATATGTTAGTTAGTCATATGATCTTTGTGATGCAGATCATGCGAAATCAAAACTTGTCACAGTATTGTGTAGTGGTGTTCCGATGATTGAAAATAAAATCGAAAATCGATCGAAAGAGGGATTTAAAATAATTATCGATTGTAAAAAACAAAATTTTTCCTTATCCTGACTCATGCTTATTGCTTGTCTTCTTCTTCTTGCGAACATAGTGGAACACGTGTATCTCCCAATTGAAGTTCCCTTCAATTAAAAAATCACTAATTAGCACTCACCACGAGTTACCTCCCTTACACAAGCGCGGGAACGAGGGCGCCACCTCAACCCATGTGCCTCACTCTCTCCTTCTTCGCCCAGTGAGCTGGACGTGAGAGCACCTGTGTCTCCCGACACACTATATCCTTTATTTATATTTAGTTTAGTACCTCTTATATTCATTTATAGAGGTGTAACTAGTAGCCTTATTCAACTTGCATTGATTATTAGTCGTGTTTCTGCTGTTTTATTCACGGTTCGCCGTGTTTGTTCAACAGTTTATGTTAATGAGAATCTGCACAGGTTGTAAACTACGTTATTCCGCTACCGATCCACATTTAAAATGCCCTAGTTGCATTTCTCCATGTTCTACTGTTTCTCGTTGTAAATTATGTATTAATTTACCAATTTCTGCCTTTGATAAATATTTATGTTCCGTTTTGAGACGGAAGGCAGATAAATCTCGGAAACAATCTTCAGTCATGGCTAATAGATCGGAGTCAGATATATCCTGGGTTACCTTCGGGGGATAAGCGTGGGACGCAGTCCGCTATATATCCTAGAAGCTTACCTGCATCCCAGGACGTTCCTTCATCACAGTCTAAGACTAGAAGAGCTTCCACGTCGTCTCAACGCGTCGCTCTGAACCCCAGGTCTACAGCTTGCGTCAAGGGAAATCCACGGGCTACTAAAAAACTTTGCTTCTGATATTCAGAATTATGTTTATATGATGATGACATTCCGATTATCATTCCAGATGTGCGTCATAAGAAGTGACTAGTATCGGCTACCGTCACTTCAGCGCAGATCAACATGCAACCAGAGATGCCTCACGCTGGCGCCGGAGATTATAACTGAGGGTCCCGCCACTATCACAGAGAGGGACACCTCAACGCAAGCGCAGACCATCTCCAGACGACCTGGTCAACCAAATCATGAGACTGATGGACGACCGTTACGGTTTACAGAGGCCCCAGAGCCACGGGCCCCAGAGCCCAACCCATAATAAGTCATACAGGGCCCCAGAGCCGGCCTTGGCTTCACGTAGGGCCCCAGAGCCCACAAACGCGCCTCCGCGAAGGGCAACCCAGCCGTGAGCGAACACCGCTAAGGAAGTCCCAGGCGCCTCGCGAAGAAGCTAGAGCCTCACTAGTTGCGAGGGACATCGCGGAGAAGGAGCGCTTCGCCGAGCCCACACCCTGTAGAACACAGAGGTCGTTCGCGAAGCAAGCGCTGATATATTGAGGGACATCGCGGAGAAGGAGCGCTTCGCCGAGCCCACACCCTGTAGAACACAGAGGTCGTTCGCGAAGCAAGCGCTCATATATTGATCAGACTCTAGACACTTCGCTAAGGAAGTCCCAGGCCGCCTCAGCGAAGGAGCTAGAGCCTCACCAGTTCGCGAGGGACATCGGAAGGAGAAGAGCGCCGAGCCCACACCCTGTAGAACACAGAGGTCGTTCGCGAAGCAAGCGCTCATATATTGATCGGACTCTGACTCGATACTTTCGCAAAGGTCGCGAAGGCTAAGTGACTCCAAGTCTACTTCACCAAGAAGATCTAGAAGGGATACTTCGAGATCTTCGCTAAGTCCCGGCGTTCAGCAGTTCGCCGAGGAAGTCTCCTCCAAGGTCTCCATATACTAGCCACTCGCCATATATAGCCACTTTCGTCCAGTCCGTTCAAGACATCGCATGAGTTGTCTATCAACTGTATGCCATATGCCGTCTACAAGCCTACGAAGACAATTGCACAGGCTATTTACAACACAGAACGTCGCTGTATCATTTTATCAACAGATGAAGAGCCTAATTAAGGATCTTCAAGCCGACTACCTACATCAAGGGGCATCAACAGCGTTTAAGTAGACCTTCACAGGAATCAACAATTCATTATAGATTGCTAGGTATGCAATCCCGGACTACGATCGATTATCTACATCGCGTGACCATTACGCCAGATCTGCAGACAATTCAATAACGAAATTGAACAGCAGCCTTGTTACAGCGAGTAAAACTCATAATCGTCCAGCGATTTCCTGAGAAAAGAAATATGTACAACAAGTTCAGCTTTAACAGTCTACAAGCTGACAACTTGTTTTATTGAACCTTATATAAGGAAGTCGGAATTATCTTCAAGACTGAAGTTACTTTCACAACAGCCTGGAAAATAACCTACCCAGCATTAATATTACAGAGTGAGGTATTTCGGCGAGAGGTTTCGCTGGCTTACCATTAACCCTCGAAACACGTGGTCACTCGGGTAACTTCGGAAGCTACGGGAAGACCGGCGATTGTTCTAATATCAACGTCAGCACTATATTATACAAGGTTCCTTTTCCTGCTACACCGGTGACATCACAGCCGGGTACTCTACAGAATCAAAATGCCTTGTTCTGATTGGACTGGCGATGGACAACGCCTCACATGAAGAGGTCGATCATAGTTCACAGTTCAAGACATAGGTTGCAAGTGACAACAATATATCAGTGAACGAGCAAGCCTCCTTACAGTCCAGCTAATCTGAACCTTCATGATTGGGCTGCCTTCTTGAGGTTAGAGACCTCCCCTGTCAAGTAAGGACGAGGGCACGGCAGTCAGGCGGTATTTTACATAAAGTTCAACGATGGCAGTCACCCTTGGTTGTGCACCTACATCGTCAAGGACTTCGCAGCGAATTTACCTCGACGACGGGATACAAGTGGATCCAAATCCATAACGTCTCAGACTACAGTTGAATTCATCATCAAGCTACTAACACAACTAGATGGTTAGTAAACCTACTTAAGTTGGACCTAGAACCTTCGCAAGATCTGCTAATTCTAGGTTTTTGATTTGTAACGGCGCAGAATCGTATAATTGTACCGGAGGACCATGGATCAAGATCCAACAGTCATTTCCACAAGCCTTACTATCTCCGCTACCACTACGACAGTGGCAGAGCCTGTTGGGGTTACGCACTTCAGCTCAAGACATGACAGGCAGAGGCAGACTACAATTACATCCGTTACAAGTCATCATCTAGACGAATCTCTACCGTTCAATTAACCGGTTCAGGTCAAACCTCATCTACTATGGTGGACCAAGAGATCGAATGTTTGAATAGGCGTCTCGTTAATAGAGCTGGAATCGATAACACTTCTCTACGTAGATGTGTCACTACAAGGTTGGGGAGCCCATCTTGCCAACAGGACGGCATCAGGGCTATGAGCAATCAAGAGAGCAAATTACACATAAATCTGCTAGAGATGCAAGCAGTAATAAACGCCTTAATGCACTGGAGCAACTTACTACAGTATACCCAGTGGATGATTCACACAGTCAATTCGACAGTGGCGTTTATGTGAACAAACTAAGCTCTCAACCAGGTCCCGAGCGTGATCGACTCTATGTTTTCAATTGTTCGATTTAATCGACAATCTCAACATACATGTCAGAGCATATCACATTCCAAGAGCAAAGAATGTGATAGTAGCAGGCGCTCTCTCGCCACACATACCATCATACAGAATGAATGCTCCATACAGTGATATTCACTCAAATTATCAAAGAAATAGGAACTACACTAATAGACCTATTTTGCCACTCGATTCAACAAACAACTGACAACATTCAGATCGCCAGTTCCAGACCCACTAGCATTGGCAACAGGCGCATCTAAGCATATGTCGTGGGAAGGACTCAACCCGTGCACGCTTTTCCACCAGCGTTAATCTCACAAGTTTACTCAAAATCAGTCAAACGCCAGAGCCTCCATCTGAATTTGTTGCGTGCGGCCTACTGACCAGCGAGCGTGGTTTCAACTCTTATTCAAGAAATCGGACAACCAATACTACATCTTACAGAGTGCTCGAATCTGTTTATACATCCGCGACACCAAACAAGCGCACGGAAAGCCTGATATATTCCAACTTCACGTATGGATTGTATCAAGGCGTGTCTGAATAACAAGTTATTCAGCCAGAGCGACAAAGCAGTCTAGCTTGCCCTCGCGTAACTCAACTTGCAACTTATAATGATGACAAATGGCACAGTTTTGTCAATTATGCTGCAAAGGAAGGATTTACAGCTAGATATGCTACTCATCCTCAAGTGGCTGACTACTTATGTTATCTCACGTCATACTAAGATTTTAAAAGGCTCAACTTGTCCACCTATCTTGCAGCAATAGCTCTGTCATAACTGAGAAGCGGAAGTCAAGTTAACCTTAAACCCAGTTACTGCTGCCTTGCTCACGAGCTTTCCGATTGGAGGATTAAAACGGAAGTTTCACGCTCCAACTTGGGATCTGAATATAGTGCTCCAACACCTCACAAGTGAGGTTTATGAACACGCTTTGATGATATACTTGGACCCCATGATACAATGAATCTATCACTGATGGCCAGTAAGAGCACTGAAAATATATCTCCACCGGAGGCCAAACAGGAGGGAAAAATTCAAGAGATTTATTTCCTCTATCAAGACAAAATCATGAGACTGAAGTCTCACGTACTACTATCTCCTTTTTGGATCAGAACTGTCATACTCGTGCCTACAAGACTGCAGGACTCGACCCTCTCCAAGAGCTTCTAATCCTTATGATATTAGAAGCTAACATCTACACTTGCTGTACACGACAAGTGCTATTGAAATACCATAATGGAGGGTTAATTCTGGAGATCCGATATGGTGTTTGCCAACCACTATCTGAGAGATATCACCACCGGGACGTCTCAGGTATCCACCAATTGGTCCCATGGTCCTCGCACAACAGTTGACAGTTCCTCGGAGAAGATAAGTCAATCTTACAGATTTCTACTTATCTTATAACAGTACTAAATAGCTACATGCTATATATATTTTGCTTAAGTTCTTTTATTATCTTAAGCTCAGTACTATGGTTATTATATCATACAATATATAAGCTAACAACTCTACGAGAGTTTGTTATTATATATTTAGCTTAAGTTAATCATATCTTAAGCTCAGTACTATGGTTACATTATAAATGTATAGCTAACAAACTCTACAGAGTTTTGCTTTGTTATTATATATGTAGCTTAAGTTAATCATATCTTAAGCACAGTACTATACTCATGTCATAAAATATATTAGCTAACAAACTCTACGGAGTTTTTGCTTAATATATATGTAGCTTAAGTTTATTCATATCTTAAGCTCAGTACTATGTTTATATCATATAAGTATATTAGCTAACAAACTCTAAAGAGTTTTTTGCTATTATATATTTAGCTTAAGTTTCATCATATCTTAAGCATTATGGTTACATTATAACATGTATTAGCTAACAAACTCTACGGAGTTTTTGCTATTATATATGTAGCTTAAGTTTATTCATATCTTAAGCTCAGTACTATGTTTATATCATATAAGTATATTAGCTAACAAACTCTAAAGAGTTTTTGCTATTATATATTTAGCTTAAGTTTCATCATATCTTAAGCATTATGGTTACATTATAAAATGTAATAGCTATCAAACTCTACAGAGTTTTTTGGCTATTTAGGTAGCTTAAGTTAATTATATCTTAAGCACAGTACTATACTCATATCATAAAATATATTAGCTAACAAACTCTCACGAAGTTTTGCTATATATATATATAGCTTAAGTTTTATTCATATCTTAAGCTTAGTACTATGTTTACTTCATAAAAGTATATTAGCTAATAAACTCTAAGGAGTTTTTGCTATTATATATTTAGCTTAAGTTTAATCATATCTTAAGCTCAGTACTATGTTTATATCATAAAAGTATTTTAGCTAACAAACTCTAAGGAGTTTATGCTATCATATTAACAAGCTTAAGTCTATTAGTCTTAAGCATTGTATTAATGTTATATATACTTTTATCATAATAAGTAAATTGTAATAACCTTTATATGGCAGCTGATAAGTTAGCAGGAATTCATCAGTTCAGTGCCTTTATGAAGTTCCCATAGGGTTATTACAATCATCACAGTTCAAATCACCAATTATTAAAATCCAAAGTATTATATATTCCCACCTCCTTTTCCAATGGATTCTACAAGCAATAAGCATGAGTCAGGATAAGGAAAAATATGTAATTTTAGAGTAAAATTGATATTTTATACTTATCCTGACTCATGAGGTAAGCCTCCCATCCTCCCCACATAACACTTTGGATTTCCCTGAAAATTCAAGTGTTGGGCTCAGTATATGAGGAGAGAGTGAGGCACATGGGTTGAGGTGGCGCCCTCGTTCCCGCGAAGGGAGGTAACTCGTGGTGAGTGCTAATTAGTGATTTTTTAATTGAAGGGAACTTCAATTGGGAGATACACGTGTTCCACTATGTTCGCAAGAAGAAGAAGACAAGCAATAAGCATGAGTCAGGATAAGTATAAAATATCAATTTTACTCTAAAAATTACATTTTTCGATGAATCGGAATTTTGTTTTTTAGTATAACACACTTGAATGAACCATTAACTTGACGAATATTCATGAACAAACATGTCCTCAACAGCGTAATGCTATGCACAGTTACATATTCATTACTGTGGCAAATATCAATAAATAATCAAGTAATGAAAAATGACAGTAAGCATTCTAAGCACTTTTATTGTTTAATTACATTTCCAGTTTCATTCTTGACAGTATTAGTTATACAAAAAACAGTACTTAGGAAAACCTGAGGAAACACCCTTAAAATTGGTGATTGCATTTAAAATGTATATATATTTCAATTATAATCGATAATCGTTCACCACAAGTCCTCCGGTTATCGATAGTGGATTTGGTTTTCTATTCCCAACACTAGTATTCTGGAACTAGTATATTTACTGCTAAACATGGTATTGACTTCTCACATTCAGACTGTTAAATGATTGTTTTGAAATTCTCAGTAAATTTTTTGTATGTATACTGAACCACAAAAGAAACGTTGCTTTTCAAAACCAAATGCAAAAATTTGTTCTTGCAAGGTGGTATTTTTTTTATGATTGTACCATTTTCTTAAAATGTTTTTCAATCCAAATTGACAGTTATTACCAACATCTGTGTGTTTTCTGATGAAAAGGCATATCGACCAAACGCACCGAAAAAGGCAGACATGGTAAAAGGTTCTGTATGATATTCATGAAAATGAAAATGCACGTGCATGTCGTGACAACCCTACCAATGACAGCGAGTCCCAAACTCGCCTGAAATCATTTTTAACTTGACACAACCACAATGCCACGACTTTCGGGAGATCAGAGGAACCAAGTCCTGGGACGATTGCAAGTTGTCCAGACTGCACAGAGGGAAGCCAATCATTTTAATGTTCATGTTAGGACAATCTTCCAACTGTAGGAGTGGTATCAGGTCACTAACAGCAGCCAAGACTGTCCATGCAGTAGGTGACATTCAGTAACATTGCTACGTCAAGACCGACAGATTGTGCGCCACCATCTGCAGGATCGCTTCCCCAGAGCGATGGAAACAGCACGCCATGCTATTGGGACTAACAACAGACCCATCAGTGCCGATACAGTGCGTCAACGTTTGCGCGGAAGAAACCTCTGCTGTCAGATACCCTATCGTGTTCCTGTCCTCACCGCTCATCACCGCCTAAACCGACTGCAATGGGCAACTCAGCATCAAAATTGGCGTTATCGACAATGGAGAACTGTGCTGTTGTCTCATGAAAGTCAATATTGTGTTTTGACAGTCGATGGCAGAGAGATGGTATGGTGAAGGTGTGGGGAACCGTTTTCCAATGAGTGTATTGTTGAAAGAGACTAGTGGGTTGGTCCAAGCATCGTAGTGTGGGGTGCAACCGGTCTGAACCAGTTAGTTGACACTGTGGTGTTCCAGAATTTTGGTCCAGGATGAGTAAATGACGTGACAGCTGCTCGCTATATTGATTAACTCATAAGACCCCATGTTATACCACATTTTGGACGTTACAGAAATCACATCTTCCAGCAAGACAACGGTTGTGCCCACACTGTCAGAGCAACATAAGACTTCCTAAGACAACATGGCATCCAAACCCACCAATAGCCTGCACTCCGTCTGAATTTAAGTCCAGTAGAAAACCTTTGGGACGAGATTCAAAGAAGACTGAATGACCTCCAACCAAGGCTGACAACTGCGACTGGACTTGATCAGGCATTTCGCAGAGTATGGACCCAAGTGCCTATGGCCTTCATCGACTGGCTAATTCATTCCATGTACAGACAATGCAACGATTTCATCGATGCCCATAGAGGTCACACACAACACTGACTTTGGGATATCCTAATGGTACCAGTTTTGGTGATTTTGTTTGTGTGAACTCTAAATGTGATTCCTGAAAATGTGTTAACCAAAATTGTCAAGTTTGAACTCAGTCCTCCGTTTTGATTGTTAATTAGAGTGAATTAAAGTATATGTGCTTTAAGAAACCACTATCAGTGCGACATTTCTTTTGTGGTTCAGTATATATTAGTGCAGTTATATCTGTTGCCGTAATTGTTATCCTTTATTTGTCAGTATCATGTCTGTGCTTGTGGCATTCACAAAGAGTTACACATCCGTGAAGATCCAGGTTAGAATTAGTCTTCAGCAACCCATGCTTGTCGTAAGAGGCGATTAACGGGATCAGTCGGTCATGCTCGCTGACTTGGTTGACACATATCATCATATCCCAATTGCGTAGATCGATGCTCATGCTGTTGATCACTGGATTGTCTAGGCCAGACTCAGTTATTTACAGACTGCCGCCATACAGCTGGAATATTGCTGTGTGCTGCATTAAACAACAAACAAACAACTTTTAAAGAGACAGTTGTTGTTGCTACACGACCATATCTCACTGCAGACTCTCCTGCTAATCACTCCTGAGTGGGGTGTTAAACAACAAACAAACTAAAGTATTAAGCCTCTAAAACATTCAGCTATTTCAGGGGTGGAAATAACTCATTAATCGTCTGAGTCCAGTGTTTTTTTCTGTCGGGCAAGCAAATTGTATATCACGCTGTACCGGTGTCCAGTTGACTTTCCAATGTTAATAATGTTATTTATTTAAAAAATTCAACAAGAAAACGGACGGTATAGTGGAAAAATTATTAGGGCAAGTGATTTTACATGTGCCACTGTACCGGAGTACACTAGCAATTTTAAAGTTATTTCCACCCCTGTATTTGAAATATTCTTTCCTCATTAAACTGGAGCCAAAACAAGAGAGAAACAAAGGAATGTTAAACTTTTCTTCCAGAGACGACATCCAGGTGGATGGACAGGATGCCACAGATGGCACTGTTAATACTTCTGTACAAGATGGTGAGTATAACATTGTTGTAGTGACAAGGTCTGTGAGGATTCCAGTCAAGTACTCACCAAATACCTCCTGTTTCTCTCAAGAGCCGATGGGTGGTGGGTTAGCCTAATGGTCAAAGCATTCGCTCATGCCGCTGAAGACCAGGGTTCAATTCCCCACAAGGGTACAATGTGCGAAGCCCTTTTCTAGTGTTGTGATATTGCTGGAATATTGCTAAAAGTGGCATAAAACCATACTCACTCACTCTAAAGGCGACTAACGGGATCGGGTGGTCAGGCTCACTGACTTGGTTGACACATGTCATCGTATCCCAGTTGCGTAGATTGATGCTCATGGTGTTGATCACTGGATCGTCTGGTCCGGACTCGATTATTTACAGATCGCCGGCGTATAGCTGCAATATTGTTGAGTGCGGCGGAAAACTATACTCACTCACTCGCTCACTGACTCACTCTAAGGAGCCGACCCCAATGACTATAGCTGATTGTTAAATCATGTTTTCTGAGTCATAGTGATCGTTATGAATCTGACATTATAGTGATATGAAATATTGAACTAAACCTTACAAACTTTCGTAATTTTCTTTTTCATGGTGTATAAAGTTGCTGTGTTACATACTTTCAATGCCTGTTTTAAATGAGAGTAAAATATGCTGATCTTATAAAAATGCATAAGCACACTTAGCACCAAGCGTTGCTTAATGGCTATTATTGGTGTTTCCTTGATTCAGATAGACTACCCACACAAAACATTGGCCTCTACAAATTCTGCTTCAATCAATGTCTTAGCTAACACCAAAAAGTGTGTACAGTGTATTTATTTTTGTCATTCCTGAATGGGGGTAAACACAATGTAGATGTAATTTATTTGTAGATTTGAACGTATTGAAGTGAATCTGACATCTTTGAGTCTATAGATAACCGAGCTATCTATGAAAAATAAATGCATTTGTCTCCTAATATGTTTGCTCACTTTCAGCTCCTGTTAATATGTTGACTGAGTTACTAAATCAAACATTCTGATTGTTGTTTAAGAAGAGATGTCTGTTTCAGGGCCTGAGAATGGTGAAAACAGAAGAGTTGAGGACTTAGCAGAAGAATTAAGCAGTAAGTAGACTTTTGTAATGTATTCAGGACTCGCTTGCTGCACTGTTTTGTTTATATGTCATAAATATGACCCCTTTTCTGTTGTCTCACAATGTGTAACTGAATTATGAATAGGTTTCTATCTCCTGCATTTCAGAACTCAAGCTCAATCTGGAAACAGAATCAGAGGAAAAGAAGATCCTGAGGGATCAGCTCACATCTAGTGAGGTAGGTTCAGTGATTCATATACACCTTCAGTGCCATATCTTCAGCAAATTATCCTTACAAATTCCCAGGTTATGAGTATGGATGTTGTATTTCATGTTTTCACATGTACTGTTACAAATCCTGTGAAACATTGGTGCCAAGTCCACCTTATTGTTGTTGTTGAATATTCACTGCCAGCTACAGTTTCACTTGTAAAACCCTGGTTATTGTTTCATCTTAATAAATTAGACCCGTGAAGATCCGGGGTAGAATAGGTGCTCAGCAACCCATGCTTGCCACAAAAGGCGACTATGCTTGTCGTAAGAGGTGACTAATGGGATCGGGTGGTCAGGCTCACTTGACTTGGTTGACACATGTCATCGGTTCCCAATTGCGCAGATCGATGCTCATGCTGTTGATCACTGGATTGTCTGGTCCAGACTCGATTATTTACAGACCGCCGCCATATAGCTGGAATATTGCTGAGTGCGGCGTAAAACTAAACTCACTCACTCACTCACCCTTAATAAATTATCCTGGTCAAGGTCAAGGTCAAGGTCCTGAACTTGTATCTTGGACTGGCATTACATGGTGGTTCTTTCGGATGTCAGAAGCTTTGATGAATTGGTGTTGAAGGGGCTGATCTATTTTTGCAAGTTCTTTTTATAATGCAAATATTAACAATGCTAGCTCATAAGTCAAATATTTTGCCCTTACATTGTGTATATATTTCTTTCTTCTTTAGAAAAAGTACAAGGATCAGTTGATTACTCTCCAGGATGAAGCTGAAAAAGTGAGTTTGCAATTCTATGCTTTCACATTCATACTCTTTGTAGAAAGGACTTGCTTCTTGATCTTGCTTATTGTGTATATGTAAAGAGTAAGCTCTGTTTAAAGTGATACCATGTGATGAGTATATGCCAGTAAGAAAACCAGTACACATCTCTTGTGGAATTTTACTGTAATCGTATAGGTCAAGAAGGCCGACTGGGTGTGAGCTGATATAAGAAATTCAGCTGTTAATATGTTTTGATATGAACAGTCTAGAAATGAAAATATATTAATATTTTTTCTTAATTTCAGGTAACTGAAAAATTAAAGAAAAAGCAGGAAAGGTAAGGATATACTTGCAATGTTTTCATCCGTTTAGAACTTTTTTGTCTCAGTGAAATATTTTGTCATCAACTTGTTTTAAATGTATATATTAGACTAATATTAGCATGAATGGTTATGAATGAAGATGTCCTTGACCCCACATGTAGTGTTGCTCACTGGTTTTTCATCTTGTTTCAGCTTTGTTAATTTACAGTCTGAGAAGGAAGAGCTATTCAAAGAAAGCAAGTGAGTGATTTAACATATGAGCTTTTTTAAAATTTTCTTTATAAATCTTTTGACTAAAAAAATTGGCAACCATAATATTTGGACCAAATAGTAAGCCTGTCTGGCATTAGTACACATCTATACTCATTATGATCATGCTTGTGCTATTTTGCTTTTGCTCTCCATTATTTGAAGTGAAGGAAATGATTAAAAAACCTAGATATTCCTATCTTCAGAGTTCCTCATACAGTCATCCCTTGCCATAATGCCCTTCGCGATGCCACATTCTTAGTTAAACCGCAGGGTAATCTGTGGCTCCCATACAAAATTTCCCCTACGATCACACATCTTCATGCACAAGATAAATGTTGGCCTATGTTTCATGTTATGTACAATGCAGATGTCGTATAACATGGAGGGTCACCATGGACCCCAAGACCTGCGTTATGGAGGGGTGACTGTAGTAACTATTGAGGGCGAAGGTGTCCCTATTGTCTGAGATGCTGCAGTTGGCGCAAGGTCTGTGTCCTTTAGGACAGCAAGAACCATGGGTTAGAATATCAGATAAATCCTGATAATGATTGGTGGTTTAGTCAGAAACAATTTGGGATTTCCACTTGAGTGGGAACCATTTCAGGCCTGCATTACTTGCTGTTTTTCCACATTGAGCTTCTCCTGAGAACTGCTAGATTTATACCCAGTTGTGTTAAATCCTACTCACTCACTCCTTCTGGAAGATGTATGTCAGGGTCAAGAGTCGTGTTAGTGAGTGTGCAGATCATCTTGGTGTATATCTCCAAAATATATCCAGATTCTCTGAACACAGTGGAGAAGTTCAGGATATATTTTACTTTGGTCTGTCCAAATATCAATCAAAATTCACACTTCATCACAATGCATTAACACATCTGATTCTCAGACTTATTGCACTTTATCACAACGAATACTGTAAAGTTATTTGTTATAGCTTGGCATGACAGGTGAAGTGACAACAAAGGGAGATAATTTATACAGTACTTGCCAACTGCAGCCATTTTGTATGATTAAAATCCCACTCATTCACTCACTTTCAATTGATTATTATGGTCATGTTCCACAATTCCATCTTAGTGCTATGACTTTAGTGTAAATGTGTACAATGATTTTGTCTGTGCATTATCCATCAAGTTATCTGTCTCTGGTCGTTAACCAATGTCTTCTAGGAAACTACAAGGAATATAGTGTATGTAGAAAAGAACAAAATGTTAACAGAAGTTTTAGACATGGTGGCCAATATTTCTTGACCATGTAACAATGTGATTACATACTTAATGAACCCACAGGGATTCCAGATTAAAATGGTCCCCAGCAACCTATTCTGATAATAAGAGACAACTTATTGGGTCAGGTTGTCAGTTTGTTGATGGCAGGTCAACATAACCCAGTGGCATGGTTCATTGCTCATGATATCAGTCACTGGATTGGCTGTCGTCAAATAGATTGTTTGTTACTGAGTTATTAAAGAATACACACATAGTTACTCTTATGCTTAAATGACAGAGCTATATATTGTACATTACCATGGTTACAGTAAGAAGATTGAGGAGTTACAGTCAGCGAGGGACAGAGACCAGAAGTATTATCAAGACCAGATCAACAAACTGCAGCAGGAGATTGAGAAACATAAAAAAGTATGTCAAGAGTTTAAATGATAAAATAATTAGTAAATCACAGGTTGTGTCAATGGTTTGTTCAGGATGTAGTAATATTCAGTGTTTGTAATAGTGTTCCTGGACTACTAAACAGGAAAAAAACACTTGTTCAGAGACAAAGTCAGTGTGTCGAGATGATGGACTCCCATGGTTTATATATCATAATATGAAAGGTGTAATGTTGTCCAAAGGAATTTGTCCATTGCTATGCAGTATTTACCAGAATCTGTAAGAATCGGCATAAAATGTTGCTAATGTAATAAATCAAAAGTTCTTATCCACACAGATGTACCTTGTATTATGCATGGTTTAGAATTGTGTCATCTGAAATAGACTCAGTATGGAGGTATGGCTGTAACTTTATTCAATGTATACATTATAACAGAATAACATATGGTACACAAGGTAATTCAGGATGATTGACAGCCAGTATTTTCCTGTGTGTACAGTCTGATGAGAGTAAGCAGTCCTCATCAGATCACCAGATACAGGATCTACAGAGAACTGTGAAGACTCTTCAGTCACAGGTTGGTGCTTCATTTATTGTACAGTGAAACCTGCCAACACCGACACCTGTCTAATCCGGCACACTGTCATTTTGGTCCCACCATTTTACAACGATATTATGATAATTAAAACATTGTCTAATCCGGCGCCTGTCTATTCCATATTCCGGCATGACTTTCTGATCCCAACAAGCAATTTTAACTGTACCGTATATGACCGTCTATAAGCCGAATTTTGAGGACCAAAAAAAGCAGTCTGTAGAAGGGGGTCGTCTTATCCATGAGTTACACTTTCATCAAACTTTTTTCCAGGGGTAAGAAAACAACATCGTATCACTTCGCGTGAACAAACAACAGAAGACGACTTTGTCAGTAGTAATTTGCAATTAAACATCATTAGACAAGATTAATTACCATTTAAGTTATAAGTTGTTTTTGCTGGGCATTGTTTTATTTGCAGGGATTAAGATTACCGTGCGTATTTGTCTCGTACACAAAGCCGGAAATAGCAATCAGCTGTGCACACGCTTCCCCGCTAACAAGTTCAAACATGCACAATAATATAATCGGACGAATTCTGGACGAAATCATCAGGAAAATATAATACAGAATACCGTTATTTAACCCAAAGAAATATATCCTAGCATTGTGTAATTTTAGTTACAGTTTTGCTCTATAAATTAATTAAGATTACCGTCGTATTTGTCTCTACACACAAAACCGAAATAGCAATCAGCTGTGCACACGCTTCCCATTGAACAAGTTCAAACATGCACAATAATATAACGGGATGAATTCTATTGATTGAATACTATTATTTAACCTAAAGAAATATATCCTAGCATTGTGTAATAGTTTTATGTAAAAAAATATATAATCAACACTAAGGTTATCTGGGACCATCATGAACGTGGTAAGCACGTGACATGGAACGAGGCGGTAATCAGTTTGTGATTGTTGAATGGGGTAAAATAAGCAAGCCAGTCTGTTGCTACAATAAATATGATATTTAGAGAAGCAAAATATATTATGCATTTTCTGTCAACTACACTTCGTTTCGATCCGTGAGTAGACACAAAATATATGACAGTGAATTCTTTGAATAATGTGGATCGACTTACAGTATATGAGGAGGACAGTGACACGGAATTTGATGGGTTTATGGCCGATGACTTGTGAAAATCTCAGAACTCTCTTGCAGAAATGTCAGTGTTTATTGTTAGTGGACTATTTTTCTTATTCTCATATATATATAGATGAAATATGGACACTTAAATAATATATTTTGAAACAAAAGTTGACTTCAGTTTTTATTTACCGATTGTACTTTTTCTCTTGGGTTGACATTTCCATACTCACCGATTTCACAAAATGGCGTCTCGTTGATGCAAGCAGTGATCGTCGGGATATAAAAAGGAACACAAACACATGTTGCCACAATACACCGGTAATCTTTATTATGTAATATTCTCACCAACACTTACGCTGTATATCCACTTTCCAAATGGCGTCTCGTTGTTGATGCAAGCAGTGATCGTTAAAAAAAGGTAAACAAACACCGGTAATCTTTATTATGTAATATTCTCGTAATGGTGTCTCATCGTTGATGGAACATACTTCCCGGGTACTCTGGTCTCTGTTGGCCGCGACCCATCGCGGGGGGTCGGCCTATCCATGAGAGATATGATTTTGACACTGATTTTGAGGGTCAAGTTTGGGGGTCGGCTTATCCATGGGGTCGGCTTATAGACGGTCATATACGGTAATTAACACTGTCTGAACCGGCATGGGTATGAGCAGTCCAATCAAGGACCCATAGTCCAATACACTAAGTAATCCTCTTGTCATGCTAGATAATCAGAAAATAGTGATTGCGCGGTGAATCAAACGCTCTAAGCCGGCATGGGTAAGACCAGTCCAATCCGTAGGATTACCACGGTTATACTTAATAAACACTTGGGGATTGCATTAATCAAAGAGTAAATAAATAGGCATTGGTTTTGTTGACTCGTCAGTCACTTTGTGTGTCATGATGGGTTTTGGACATTGTGAAAAAGCGTGATGTTTTCAACAATGTTTTGTGCTGAATAAAGAATAATTATCTGTCATCAACATTGTTTTGATTTGTTGCACAATTACGAAAGGTCAAAGGCATTATAGAGATAAGGGATTGACAAGTGTAAATGGCAGCAATGTTGGAAAATGATCGTCACTGTCTAATCCGGCACCCTGTCAAAGCCGGCATTTTATTTCGGCCCTGTGGGGTGCCCGTTTAGACAGGTTTCACTGTATATCTGTCTATTTTTCATAGTTCAGAGTGTAGTGTGAAAAGCTGGGTTAGCATTGGTCTTCAGCAGCCCATGCTTGTTGTAAGAGCAATTGACGTGATCAAATAGTTGATACAGTCTTCCTATTCCAACTGCTTAGATGCATGCTCATGATAACAACGTGTGGATTGTCTAGTCCAGCCTCAGTTATTTACTGATGGAACAGGCTGCGATCACATAGCTATAGTGTTTCTGACTGTGGTTCAACAACAAAACAAAACACACAAAACATTAATATTTATGTGACAGATTTAATTTCGTAATGTTCTTGTTAATGATGAGTGTGTATATCAGCAGATATAAACAGCCTGCATAATCTTAGAACGGCATTAAGAGATTCGAGCTCCACTGGACTAAAGGCTAAATGAACTTATCCCTAATTTTCCTGACATTTTAATTTTCTGCTACTCCAAAAGTGAAGCGTATTAGATGAGTGATGATTTTCTTACTAGAATTCAGTACAAAATGTCCTACATGTGAAGATGTTGACTGTAGTGTTGTCTTCTGACATCAGGTTGATGCTGCTGGCATTGTGGGCTCCCAGCAGCTCCAGGAACAGAGCAGCAAGTATGAGCAACAGGTCACAGAGCTACAGAACAAAGTGGAACAGCTGTCACAGCACAGGGAGGACTTGCAGCTGCAGCTGAGGGTAGGAACACTAGCAACGTCATCCACTCTGTCTGCCTTCATTCGTTCTTTTTTTCATTGTTTGTTAGTTGGTTCATTGGTTTGTTGGTTCGTTCTTTCTTTCAGTTCATGTATTTTGTCTGTAAACATAGGGAGACTGGGTTATATTTGGTCTCTAGATTTGGCATTCAATACTGCTTGTTAGAAGTCGCTGAATTGTTCAGGATCAGGAATTAGGATTTTGGGTTAGAATTGGTCACAGAAACCTGGTTGTAAAATGTGGCCCAATGGATTGAGCAGCACCTTGATCATGTCTTTGTACCCCAACTCTCACAATACTCTCACAATGTCAATCACTAGATGGTAATGTTGAAGTTGTGACAGCCTGAAATTGTTTATTTACATCATTAGATATCAGAATTAGCTTTTATTTGAGCTGACTTGGCAAAAACTTGAAGAGACCAGGGCTACTAATTGAAGATGTGTGGTGGTTGAGAATGATCTGTCTGTTGTGCAGGAGAGCCAGAAGGCGAGCCAGGAGACCCTGGACCAGCTCCAGGCTGCCCAGAAGGAGAGAGACACAGAGATACAGGCCCTACAGGAGGTCAGCAAGGTCAGTACACGCTCATCTCAAATCTTTATAATGCAGACCTCATTTCAATACAAGCCAAGTGCATAACCTTAAAATATAATAGTAAGTGTTTCCGTGGCATTTGATTGGCTTGACTGGATTTGGGTGACTGCAAGGGGCACAATTTAGTAGCGTGTAAAACACTGAAAAAATCATGTAGAATTTAAAGCCCTGTTGACCACTTCTAGATGCTTGCAATCACTTTTAACACATCAGTCTAGCCCTGTAGTTGATGTTGTCTAAGATCAAGAAAGAATAGAACTGGCACTGTTATGATTATTAGCGAACGTTAAGGGAAGAAATCACATGTCTGATAGAGACATGTTTAGATAGACGGAATAGATCACTTGCATGACATTTTTACTAAAGTTACTAAATACACACTGGATAGGACACTTTAAGGGTTTTTATGATGTAAGGGAGTTACTACTGACAGTAAGTAAATGCACTCACCCATCTCTTCACTTCCTCAGATTGCTGAGAAGAGGAAATCCCTACTGGATGAGCTGGCCATCAAGTACCAGAAGGACTGTGACTCTCATCACGCCTACATCAAGCAGGTGGAGGAGAAGCATGGGGACGAGGTGCAGGCACTGCAGAAACACATAGAGGAACTAGGGGTAAACACCTTAATGTGTTACACTAAGCTCACCTGAACATGTGATATGTAGCTCACCTGAACATATAATATAAACTAGGGACATCTGCCGGCATGTTTATGAAAAAGGTCTCTGTTACATGCATAATGTACTTGGGTAAGTAAGGTCATATGTAACTCTGAGCTCAACTTCCAAAGTGACACGTGGCTCACCCGTAGCTCACCTTCACAAGTGACATGTACCTCACCTTCACAAGTGACATGAAGCTCACCTTCACAAGTGACATGTAGCTCACCTTCACAAGTGACATGTAGCTCACCTTCACAAGTGACATGTAGCTCACCTTCACAAGTGACATGTAGCTCACCTTCAAAAGTGACACGTAGCTCACCTTCACAAAAGTGACACCTTCTGTGACACGTAAGCTCACCTTCACAAGTGACATGTCACCTTCACAAGTGAGCTCACCTTCACAAGTGACACCTTCACAGAGTGACAGCTCACCTTCACAAGTGACATGTAGCTCACCTTCACAAGTGACACGTAGCTCACCTTCACAAGTGACACGTAGCTCACCTTCACAAGTGACACGTAGCTCAACTTCAAAAGTGACACGTAGCTCACCTTCACAAGTGACACGTAGCTCACCTTCACAAGTGACACGTAGCTCACCTTCACAAGTGACACGTAGCTCACCTTCACAAGTGACACGTAGCTCACCTTCACAAGTGACATGTACCTCACCTTCACAAGTGACATGTAGCTCACCTTCACAAGTGACACGTAGCTCACCTTCACAAGTGAGATGTACCTCCCCTTCACAAGTGACATGTGACTGGGGATGACTTCCTCAGTGTGAAATAAATAGCTCACCTTCAAATGTAAACTGTGGCTTACCTTGTGTGAAATGAACATGGGTTAACTACCTCTGGGTGTGGCATGTAGCTCACCTTTGCTTGTAACATTTATCTCACCTTCACTTGCAACATAAACTATGTCATGTGATGTTACTGAGAATACTCAATGTATAGCTTGAGCTGACATGTAGAATTATTGAACTCAAGCTAGGTATTGAATGAGTGAAGAATGGAATTGTGTCCTTTGTGTGTTAAAGCATTCAAATGAAGAATTGATATGAAAGGGTTGATTTGAACTGTCTTTAATCTTTTCCAGCTAAGATGTGATCAGTTACAGAAATATGAACATCAGTGCGATGAACTCCAGACAAGAGTTAAGTCCCTTGAAGATGCAAAAGGCTGGTTGGAGAGACGATTGAAGGAAACAGAGGTGAGATTGAATTATATGCTTGTGTGCCCCAAGTTGATTCCAGGTTAGAGAAGATCCCCAAGAATCTATGTTTGTTGTTGGAGACGACCAAATGAATCTGGTATTCAGTCACACTGATGTAAATGATAACGTCCTCATACCACAATAGCATGGATCACTGCTCATGATGTCAGTCACTGGATTGTCTGGCCCAAATTCGAAAATTTCGATGCCACCATCATATACTGTTATATTGCTGAGTGCAGCATTAACAACAGACATCTAGTGCTGAATCAATTGATAGAATGTTTCACAACAGAATGGGTGTATATAAGTCGACAAACAAGTTATAGAATGCAAATAGTTATCAGTAATACAATTCTTTCTGAATATTTGATATTACGATAACACACTTAGCTAGTGTCTCCATGTGTTGTTCTGTAGTTGTTGTTGACACTGTTGTGCACTCCCTATCATCCAGGAGAACATGCAGCAGGTGAAGCTGAGTCACGAGGAAGTGATCAGTGAGATGAAGTCCAGCCAGGAGACGGAGATGCTGAATCTCAGGTCAGCCCACAAAGAGGAGGTCACTGCAATACACGAAAAAGAACAAATAGAAACTAAGGTAAGTCTGTTTCTGTGTTTCTCTTATTAGCAAGAAGGAGATTCCAAATCAGGAAACGTCTCAAGTGAATTATTAATAAAATGAATGAGAAGTTATTTTTGACCCAATTGCTGATACTGTATTATTCAATATCCCTGTTTTCTAAGATAATCAGTATACAACTAAAGTGGTGGTACAGTGCTTGTTTATAGTTTGATAAAGGCAATCACTTTTCTATATCTGGAATAAAACTGATTCCATCTCAAAGAGAAATTATAATCATGCAAATTAAAGTTAAAAATTTCTAACATAATTCTTTTTCAGGAATGGCAAACTAGGGAGGAGAGTTTAATGGAAGAGATTGGAAGCCAGAAGGAAAGGATTACATCTTTAGAACAGGTAAACATTTTCTTTTAAAACAGTTAGTCAAATCACAGATAATGTTCAGGCTTTTCAAAGGTTGTGAGTAAAAGCTTTTGTTATCTTGGATCTCAGTGCATATCCTTTGGATATCTGATATCTTGAATGCAATATGACATACATATATTATTTAGTTCTTCAAGCCTGTAACCAAAAGTGTAGGTGTTTGGAAAGTATAAAGAAGTACTTCTACATCCAAACCCAGGACATTAGGTTTAGTGTTGAGTCTGTGTAGTCACCAGATTCAGTCTACTTTGTGCACATTTACAAATATTTGCAATAGCTCTAGATACTCTCTGGAGCCATAAGTCAGTGAAACAAATGATATATTTGGCATTACACTATTTGTTTAACCTAAATGTTTCTTACTTCCTAAAGGGTAGTGTGGACTGTAACTTGTACTCTCAGCTTCACGAGGCAAGCATGTGTACATCCTTGGTTTGACATTTCTTGCAGGAAATTAAAGACAGTGTAGGTGAGAAGAAGATCCATGAAAAGAAAGGCATGACTATGGTGAGTTGTCAAACACACAGACTGGGTACTAGGGTTGACAACAGTGAAGGTCAAGTCAGGCCTAGTGATGCAATCTTTTTGGTATAGAATTATTGGACAGGATAGGTCTTCAGTGCTCTGTTATCCCTTAGGGGGACATGTTATTGTAGGTAATTGGGCATACAAACATATTAATACACAACTATAGCTTAGTGATACACAAACTTTATGATTTAGAAGTCCTGAACAGGATAGGACCTCAGTACTCTGTTAACCCATCGAGGGACATGTCATTTCAGACAATAGTGCATACAAACTCATTATACAGAATTCCTGTACAGGATAGGTCCTCAGTACTCTGTTAACCCATCGAGGGACATGTTATTTCAGACAATAGTGCATACAAACTCATTATACAGAATTCCTGAACAGGATAGGTCCTCAGTACTCTGTTAACCATGTTAACCCATCGAGGGACATGTTATTTCAGACAATAGTGCATACAAACTCATTATACAGAATTCCTGTACAGGATAGGTCCTCAGTACTCTATTCGTTAACCCATTGAGGGACATGTTATTTCAGACAATAGTGCATACAAACTCATTATACAGAATTCCTGTACAGGATAGGTCCTCAGTACTCTGTTAACCCATCGAGGGACATGTTATTTCAGGCAATAGTGCATACAAACTCATTATACAGAATTCCTGTACAGGATAGGTCCTCAGTACTCTGTTAACCCATCGAGGGACATGTTATTTCAGACAATAGTGCATACAAACTCATTATACAGAATTCCTGTACAGGATAGGTCCTCAGTACTCTGTTAACCCATCGAGGGACGTGTTATTTCAGGCAATAGTGCATACAAACTCATTATACAGAATTCCTGTACAGGATAGGTCCTCAGTACTCTGTTAACCCATCGAGGGTCATGTTATTTCAGGCAATAGTGCATACAAACTCATTATACAGAATTCCTGTACAGGATAGGTCCTCAGTACTCTGTTAACCCATCGAGGGTCATGTTATTTCAGGCAATAGTGCATACAAACTCATTATACAGAATTCCTGAACAGGATAGGTCCTCAGTACTCTGTTAACCCATCGAGGGTCATGTTATTTCAGACAATAGTGCATACAAACTCATTATACAGAATTCCTGTACAGGATAGGTCCTCAGTACTCTGTTAACCCATCGAGGGTCATGTTATTTCAGGCAATAGTGCATACAAACTCATTATACAGAATTCCTGAACAGGATAGGTCCTCAGTACTCTGTTAACCCATCGAGGGTCATGTTATTTCAGACAATAGTGCATACAAACTCATTATACAGAATTCCTGTACAGGATAGGTCTCCTGTACTCCATTCGTCATATGAGCGAAATATTCTCAAGCACGACGTTAAACCCAATTACATCTCACCTCCTGTACTCCATGTTCCTCTTGGAGGGACCGTTAGCGAATAGTTAATAAAGGCATCTGTACAAAAGTGGGGGAGGTAACACAGCTTAGGCGTAAAACTCCTGGACAAGATATGTTCCCCTGTGTTTCCCTTGTACTGGAGTGGAAAACTTCTCTCTGAAAACCCTAATGGTGATTGGTGAATGAAATACTTGCAGACCTATTAACCCGCACCTGAACTTAAAGGATTAAAATATTCATCTGATAGCCAGCTTTTGTGCTTCACAGCTGCCATAGAACCTATTTGGAGTTTGTGGTTGGTAACTGTAACCTTATGGCATGGATCAATACTGACGTCATGCAATCTGAAGATTATCTTCATATAAAAATAGATCATTGAATATTTTTACATGTTTTTATCAATAAATGACTCTTCTATGGTACAGTTAATGATAGTCTTAAGGGAACATGTAGGGACACGGGATATAGGATATTCCTTTCTGATATTAACTTATGTTGAAATCACTGATAAGAAGCTGTTCCCAAAGACCAGTATGACCTGTAATCATGAGGTGATGGTGAGAGTGTATAGGATCTGACTGACGACTATATAGCAAATATGTACGATAACCTGTATCGAAACGTCGCAATCTCGTAATAAAGAAGTTGTTATCCATAAAGTTTGTCTATATTGAACTTCTAAAATGCCACTGAAAGGAGTGATTGACCACGATATGTGATGTGTGGCTGAGTGGTGAGTTCATGTTTCAGCTGAAGGACCTGAAGCGGCAGCTCCATGCTGAGAGGAAGAGGGCAGAGAAACTGCAGGAGAGGCTGCAGGATGTCTTGTCTGATACCAAGAACAGACAGAGTGAGTCCTTGACATGATACACACACATACTGTTCCCTTCTAGTCAAACCATGTGCTATTTGGTTGTTTTGCAGAACAGGGCCCCATTTCACAAAGCTCTCGTTGTGACGAGATCTTAGGCTTACGAGAGCTTTGTGAAACTTGGCCCTGAACTTTTTCTAGGTTGGGTATTATTAGAAATATAATCATACGCTATAGCTATCCAAATTATTAATATAGGGAGTTGCTGTGGACTTGTCAATTATTTCACACTACAAAGGCATGTATGTCACTTTATACTGTTTAGGTGTGTTAAGTTCATTGTATGGGCAGGTTGTTATTCTTTGTAAGGACCTCACTGAGGGCAACATGTGAAGATCTGGGTGAGCGTTGGTCTTCAGCAACCAATGCTTATTGTAAGAGCCAACTAATGGGATCAGGTGGTCAGGCTTGCTGACTTGATTGATGCATGTGATCGTCTCCAAATTGCACAGATCACTGCTCATGTCAGTCACTGGATTGTCGGGCCTAGGTACCCTTTTCACAGTCTCCTATTGTCGCACAATTTGCAGTCCATTCAGTCCTTGAGGAAGGAGCTAACCTGTACATACCCTTTTCTGATGCCAGTGGATTATCTCAACTCCCCTCAATAATAGCCAGTGTGATGATGCAGTGATGTCATTGTTTAAACCAAAGATAACTACTGAAGATAGTAACCTGAATATACAATTCAATGGCTCAAAGAATTATCTGCAGGTCTGAGTATACCATTGCGTTGATGGATGTGAGTTGCTCACCAAGCTGACATCAAACAGAGTTCTGTCCATTAGTTAAGCCAGGATCCTAAACTTGTCCCTGATTATGATCCTGAGGGTCTCAGCACCATGCTAATCTGCTAGGTTTCACCAAATTGACTAACAGCTGCAACTGGCATAACGTAGTTGATTTCCACCCTAATTAAGATTCTGCTGAGTGAAGTACCATTCAAAGCAGTGTTTTGAGTCAACTCATCCACCTTGTAATCTCTATGTGTTGATATCTGGATGTAAAATAAGATGTGCCATGTCTTGAAATCCAAGCAATGATTAGCAAAAACTTGTTAGATCTGTGTAAACGCACCACTGGGATTTAGGATTGAAGAAAATGTTGCAGGCAAGCATTCCTGACTCATAAATCACTTTATGTTGCAGGTATAGAGGATCTGTTCCGGCCTGTCGACCCGTCAGACCCACTAAGGGGAGACAGCAGGTGAGTAGGAGAAAGTCCTGAATTTTAATACTAGGCCACAAAAGGGTGACAATGGCAATGTACTGGCCAAGCTTAGATGTGTGGAATTTGCACAAAAGTGTGTGTCTTATCATAGAAAGCAGGGCATTTTTACACCAGACATACTTGATTTGCTAATGTATTGGTACTATTTGTTGTTAAATTGGTTTTGTAAACTGCACAGGGTAATGTAAAAATGTGAGCATAGAACTGACTGTAGCAAACTTTCAAATGTACTTTTGAATGCCTCTTTGCATTGCCTTAATGGCAACATTTAGAAGACAGTTGAACTTTGAAGTGTATTTGGAAAACATGTTTCCAGAAATTCAATTTCATTTAAAGGGTCTCAGCAACTAATAGCCTCATGAATAAAAGAAATCCATTCAGTATAGTTCAAACTGTTCCTGACTTGGAAATATATTAACAGGGATTTACATCTGTTTCAGCTCTGTGTCGTCCTGGAGTGCAGGAGCCAGTGGATTAGGAACCAAAGACTCCATGGCCAGTGGGCCGCAGGTGGGTATTGACTCATGTTGTGATTCATTCAGTCAATATCTGTGTGGGGGTTGGGACTTAGATTGATTGGTTGGTTAGTTGTTGTTTAACGCCACACTCAGCAGTATTCCACTGGTTGGTTAGTTGTTGTTTAACGCCACACTCAGCAGTATTCCACCTATATGGCGGTGGTCTGTAAATAAGTGAGTCACAATCCAGTGATCAACAGCATGAGCATCGTTCTAGGCAACTGGGATATGATGACATGTGTCAACCAAGTCAGCGAGCCTGACCACCTGATCCCGTTTGGCGCCTCTTTTGACAAGCATGGGTTTCTGAAGATCAATTCTTGAGTGTTCTGATTTAAAAGTATTCTCCAGTAACTGCTGCAGGCTGTAAGAGGCAACTGATTGCATTGAGAGGTCAACCTTAGTGACTTGTTGAATGTATATCTGTGTACCCTACAGTGTGGACCAGTACTCATAATATCTACCACGGGATCATATGGTCAAGATTTGATTATTTTCTTGCTGCCATCAAATTGCTGGAATTTCTGAGTCTGGCGACCAAATGAATCGGAGTTAAGTTCTGTCACTTGGTTGAAAGCATATAATCATAGCGAACCTGTTTGGCTCTGTTATCTAAGGTGCAGCAATTTGTCATGTGGAGCACCAGATTTGCTGAATAAGTCATCATGTGTCTATGAACAGAAATTGCATTCAGGAATGAACGTACCAACATGCGATTTATTTGAAAAATGTGACACAGCATTGACAAGAAACAATGGAAGGTGACAAATCCTCTTGCTTTATTCATCCGTAAATAAGGAAATGAGCATGTTTTCGGCTGTTTTTCATTTGACAACTTCTGTAAATGCATAATAACTTTTTTCCGGTTTGGGGACCAAAATACTGCAGTCTACCTTGTTAGGATACTATCCAAATCCATCAAAGGCAGAATATTTCCATGGCTTGGCATTCTGTTACATATAGATGTAAGGTGAGGACTGACAGGTGTTTTGTGTTGCAGTCACCCAACCACACGGCCAACTTCAGTTTCACCAGTGAGGTGGAGCAGGAATATGGGGAGTTAATGGCACGGGTTGCTGATGTACAGCAGCAGAAGTGGGCTCTGGAGGAGAAGGTGGGTACACTGTGTGGTAGAGTGGTAGTTAGGTGGAGCAGGAATACGGGGAGTTGATGGCACGGGTTGCTGATGTACAGCAGCAGAAGTGGGCTCTGGAGGAGAAGGTGGGTACACTGTGTGGTAGAGTGGTAGTTAGGTGGAGCAGGAATATGGGGAGTTGATGGCACGGGTTGCTGATGTACAGCAGCAGAAGTGGGCTCTGGAGGAGAAGGTGGGTACACTGTGTCAGGTTGGGTACACTGTGTCAGGATGGGTATACACTGTCAGGATGGGTACACTCAGTCAGGGTGGGTACACTGTGTCAGGGTGGGTACACTGTGTCAGGATGGGTACACTGTGTCAGGATGGGTACACTGTCAGGATGGGTACACTGTGTCAGGGTGGGTACACCTGTGTCAGGATGGGTACACTGTGTCAGGATGGGTACACTGTGTCAGGGTGGGTACAGTGTGTCAGAATGGGTACAGTGTGATGTCAGGTGGAGCTGACTGTATCAGGGTGGGTACACTGTGTCAGGATGGGTACACTTGGGTCACTGTGTGGTACAGTGGTGTTATCAGGATCAGGAATCACTGGGAGTTGATGGCCGGGTTGCTGATACACAGTGTCAGGGTACACTCTGTCAGGGTGGGTACACTGTGTCAGGATGGAGTGGTATGGATGGGTACACTGTCAGGAGTTGATGGCAGTTGATGTACACACTGTGTCAGGGTGGGTACACTGTGTCAGGATGGGTACACTGTGTCTGGTAGGGTGTCAGGTTAGGTGGAGTGTCAGGATGGGCATACACTGTCAGGATTGGTACACTGTGTCAGGATGGGTACACTCTGTCAGGATGGGTACACTGTGTCAGGGTGGGTACACTGTGTCAGGATGGGTACACTGTGTCAGGATGGGTACACTGTGTGTCAGGATGGGTACACTGTGTCAGGATGGGTACACTGTGTCAGGATGGGTACACTGTGTCAGGATGGGTACACTGTGTCAGGATGGGTACACTGTGTCAGGATGGGTACACCTGTGTCAGGATGGGTACACTGTGTCAGGATGGGTACACTGTGTCAGGATGGGTACACTGTGTGGGTACACTGTCAGGATGGGTACACTGTGTCAGGATGGGTACACTGTGTCAGGATGGGTACACTGTGTCAGGATGGGTACACTGTGTGTCAGGGGTGGGTACAGCTGTGTCAGGGATGGGTACACTGTGTCAGGATGGGTACACTGTGTCAGGATGGGTACACTGTGTCTGGATGGGTACACTGTGTGCAGGATGGGTACACTGTGTCTGTATGGGTACACTGTGTGTCAGGATGGGTACACTGTGTCAGGATGGGTACACTGTGTCAGGATGGGTACACTGTGTCAGGATGGGTACACTGTGTCAGGATGGGTACACTGTGTGTCAGGATGGGTACACTGTGTCAGGATTGTACACTGTGTCAGGATGGGTACACTGTGTCAGGATGGGTACACTGTGTCAGGATGGGTACACTGTGTCAGGATGGGTACACTGTGTCAGGATGGGTACACTGTGTCAGGATGGGTACACCTGTCAGTGGGTACAGGATGGGTTACACTGTGTCAGGATGGGTACACTGTACCTGTCAGGATGGGTACACTGTCAGGATGGGGTACACTGTGTCAGGATGGGTACACTGTGTCAGGATGGGTACACTGTGTCAGGATGGGTACACTGTCAGGATGGGTACACTGTGTCAGGATGGGTACACTGTGTCAGGATGGGTACACTGTGTCAGGATGGGTACACCCTGTGTCAGGATGGGTACACTGTGTCAGGATGGGTACACTGTGTCAGGATGGGTACACTGTGTCAGGATGGGTACACTGTGTGTGTACAGGATGGGTACACTGTGTCAGGATGGGTACACTGTGTCAGGATGGGTACACTGTGTCAGGATGGGTACACTGTGTCAGGATGGGTACACTGTGTCAGGATGGGTACACTGTACACTGGGTACACCGTGGGTGGAGTACACTGTGTCAGGATGGGTACACTGTCAGGATGGGTACACTGTGTCAGGATGGGTACACTGTGTCAGGATGGGTACACTGTGTCAGGATGGGTACACTGTGTCAGGATGGGTACACTGTCAGGATGGGTACACTGTGTCAGGATGGGTACACTGTGTCAGGATGGGTACACTGTCAGGATGGGTACACTGTGTCAGGATGGGTACACTGTGTCAGGATGGGTACACTGTCAGGATGGGTACACTGTGTCAGGATGGGTACACCTGTGTCAGGATGGGTACACTGTCAGGATGGGTACACTGTGTGTCAGGATGGGTACACTGTGTATCAGGATGGGTACACTGTGTCAGGATGGGTACACCTGTGTGTGGTCAGGATGGGTACACTGTCAGGATGGGTACACTGTGTCAGGATGGGTACACTGTGTCAGGATGGGTACACTGTGTCAGGGTGGGTACACTGTGTCAGGATGGGTACACTGTGTCAGGATTGGTACACTGTCAGGATGGGTACACTGTGTCAGGATGGGTACACTGTGTCAGGGATGGGTACACTGTGTCAGGATGGGTACACTGTCAGGATGGGTACACTGTGTCAGGATGGGTACACTGTGTCAGGATGGGTGCACTGTGTCAGGATGGGTACACTGTGTCAGGATGGGTACACTGTGTCAGGATGGGTACACTGTCAGGATGGATGGGTACACTGTCAGGATGGGTACACTGTGTCAGGATGGGTACACTGTGTCAGGATGGGTACACTGTGTCAGGATGGGTACACTGTGTCAGGTATGGGTACACACTGTGTGTCAGGATGGTAGGTACACTGTGTCAGGATGGGGTACACTGTCAGGATGGGTACACTGTCAGGGAGTAGGGTACACTGTCTGTCAGGATGGGTACACTGTGTCAGGATGGGTACACTGTGTCAGGATGGGTACACTTTCAGGATGGGTGCACTGTGTCAGGATGGGTACACTGTGTCAGTCAGGTGGGTATGGGTACACTGTGTCAGGATGGGTACACTGTGTCAGGATGGGTACACTGTGTCAGGATGGGTACACTGTGTCAGGATGGGGGTGGAGTACACTGTGTCAGGATGGGTACACTGTGTGTCAGGATGGGTACACTGTGTCAGGATGGGTACACTGTGTCAGGGTGGGTACACTGTGTACACTGTGCCAGGATGGGTACACTGTGTCAGGATGGGTACACTGTGTCAGGGTGGAGTACACTGTGTGTCAGGATGGGTACACTGTGTCAGGATGGGTACACTGTGTCAGGATGGGTACACTGTGTGTGAGGATGGGTACACTGTGTCAGGATGGTACACTGTGTCAGGGTGGGTACACTGTATCAGGATGGGTACACTGTGTGTCAGGATGGGTACACTGTGTCAGGGTGGGTACACTGTGTCAGGGTGGGTACACTGTGTCAGGATGGGTACACTGTGTCAGGGTGGGTACACTGTGTCAGGGTGGGTACATCTGTGTCATGTGATGGATGGGTACACTGTGTCAGAATGGGTACACTGTGTGTCAGGATGGGTACACACTGTGTGTCAGGGTGGGTACACTGTATCAGGGTGGGTACACTGTGTGTCAGGGTGGGTACACTGTATCAGGGTGGGTACACTGTGTCAGGATGGGTACACTGTATCAGGGTGGGTACACTGTTTGTTATGTTGGGTGATTACATGTTACTCCAGTGTTTAATGTCTGTGATATTTCAGGTCTCTCATCTGGAGACAAGCAATGCATGCATGGCTGATGACTTGTTGAAGAAGACTGCCATCATTAGCTACTATGTCATGGACAGCAGATCAGGTAATTCATATGTTTTCTTTCTTCATGGGAGACTTGTGTGGCCCTGACTTTGGAGCCCGTGAATTCACTGTTCAGAGTTGTTTGTTTGCATACCAGGATCCCATCAAACATTGTTTTGTTTCCCCATGATTCCATGCAACCAGAACATTCTACCATGATTGGACCATGAAGGTGGATTGAGCCTTGATTTGACCGAAATATTTCTGACCTGTTACCTGGTCATTTTGTGACTGTGTACATCTGACACTTCACAACCTAATGACAGGACAGGCAAACCGTACACAAGTCCATAGACTTGGGTTAGAGTAGCTTCCCTTGGATACAGTGCAGCTCCTGGATTGCCTTGAAAGGCAAATAGAAAAGATTTATGTGGTCAATTATTATGCCACTGTCTAAAGAGCATGTCTCAGTTGGAACTATATTGATTGCTGTGACTGTAAACCCAAACAATCAAAAACCTTTTGAAGTCATATGTATGATGGTGAATATTTTGTGTTAGAAATCCTTGTCTTTCCCTAAAAAATGTGTTTACCATCCCAAAATACACTCGCATGATACCCACTGTGGATTGTCGAAACGTGATTATTTACTGGGAGCCTTCAACAGCTGTAATATTGTGGAGTACATAAGCAAACAACAAGCGCACACACTTTAGCCTATCCTCTGAAGTCTGGTCCAGCAAAATGTCATTCTTCCTCAAGTTAAGTTGTCCCTCGTCGCATCGTGCAACAGGGGACTATGCATTCAGCAGCATGCGTACATACGTCCCGATTCTTGTTAATGCAATATCTCATGAACCCAAGTCTTCAAATTTGGTGACAGCCTACTTTGGGGGATTACGCAGACAACACTTTGACCACATTTCAAACTTATCAAAATGCAATATCTCATGCATTGTTGTACCCAATATCATCGAAATGGTTGACAGCCTACAGTCGATTTGGGTGACCTTGACCTTATCTTCAAGGTCACATGACATCTTGTTAACATGATAACTACATCATACAAAAGGTAATGTTCTATGTGACCAAAAGATAAAACCTAGTAAATATGTTATTTTTCATTCATCTTTAGCGGTGAGGGACATTGCCATGTTAGTGCAAACACTTTGTGTGGGGACTCTAGGGTTGGTAATTTGTTGACTAGCTGATCCAACACCCCCATGATTGTTGGTAATTGAGTGAAGTAATCTTGAACGCCATGTTAAACCCTTTTTCACTTCACCTACCGTTTACTTGTGAAGATCCGGGTTAGAATTGGTCTTCAGCAACCCATGCTTAAAACATGACTATCAGGATCGGGTGGTCAGGCTCAATGGCATGGTTGACACATGTAATCGGATCCCAATTGTGAAGATCGATGCTCATGCTGTTAATCACTGGATAGTTTGGTCCAGACTGGATTATTTACATACAGCCAACATATAGGTGGAATATTGCTGAGTGCTACATTGGACAACAGACCAACCCACCAACCAAATCACCTACCTTTTGCTGAAATTGATCTTTCTCTGATTCTACAAGTTTAGCTTATGACTCGTACTGTGCCTCCAGGGGCGGTGGGGAAGGCTTTACTCTGCTTTTAGCAACAATCCAGCAGTGGGCGATACAAGAAATGGACTTCACACATTATGTCCATGTGGACAATCGAACCCGGATCTTCAGCGTAATGAGCAGATGCTTTAACCATTAGGCTACCCCACCTCCCCTTGCAAGCAAAGGATAACTCCTGCTCTCTCAGTTCCCCACTGGTTCACAGATAGCAAGGATGTTGCTGAAATAATGCTGAATATCACATCATTCACTCAGCCACTGCAGTCAAATAATCATGGCTAAATCAGGGATCCATTTAGAAGTAGGTTATGTTTAGTGATGAAATAATGCTGAATACCACATCATTCACTCAGCCACTGCAGTCAAATAATCATGGCTAAATCAGGGATCCATTTAGAAGTAGGTTATGTTTAGTGATGAAATAATGCTGAATATCACATCATTCACTCAGCCACTGCAGTCAAATAATCATGGCTAAATCAGGGATCCATTTAGAAGTAGGTTATGTTTAGTGATGAAATAATGCTGAATATCACATCATTCACTCAGCCACTGCAGTCAAATAATCATGGCTAAATCAGGGATCCATTTAGAAGTAGGTTATGTTTAGTGATGAAATAATGCTGAATATCACATCATTCACTCAGCCACTGCAGTCAAATAATCATGGCTAAATCAGGGATCCATTTAGAAGTAGGTTGTGTTTAGTGATGAAATAATGCTGAATATCACATCATTCACTCAGCCACTGCAGTCAAATAATCATGGCTAATCAGGGATCCATTTAGAAGTAGGTTATGTTTAGTGATGAAATAATGCTGAATATCACATCATTCACTCAGCCACTGCAGTCAAATAATCATGGCTAAATCAGGGATCCATTTAGAAGTAGGTTATGTTTAGTGATGAAATAATGCTGAATATCACATCATTCACTCAGCCACTGCAGTCAAATAATCATGGCTAATCAGGGATCCATTAACAAGTAGGTTATGTTTAGTGATGAAATAATGCTGAATATCACATCATTCACTCAGCCACTGCAGTCAAATAATCATGGCTAAATCAGGGATCCATTTAGAAGTAGGTTGTGTTTAGTGATGAAATAATGCTGAATATCACATCATTCACTCAGCCACTGCAGTCAAATAATCATGGCTAATCAGGGATCCATTTAGAAGTAGGTTGTGTTTAGTGATGAAATAATGCTGAATATCACATCATTCACTCAGCCACTGCAGTCAAATAATCATGGCTAAATCAGGGATCCATTTAGAAGCTGAATATCACATCATTCACTCAGCCACTGCAGTCCATGGCTAAATCAGGGATCCATTTAGAAGTAGGTTGTGTTTAGTGATGAAATAATGCTGAATATCACATCATTCACTCAGCCACTGCAGTCAAATAATCATGGCTAATCAGGGATCCATTTAGAAGTAGGTTATGTTTAGTGATGAAATAATGCTGAATATCACATCATTCACTCAGCCACTGCAGTCAAATAATCATGGCTAAATCAGGGATCCATTAAGAAGTAGGTTATGTTTAGTGATGAAATAATGCTGAATATCACATCATTCACTCAGCCACTGCAGTCAAATAATCATTAAATCAGGGATCCATTTAGAAGTAGGTTATGTTTAGTGATGAAATAATGCTGAATATCACATCATTCACTCAGCCACTGCAGTCATGGCTAAATCAGGGATCCATTTAGAAGTAGGTTATGTTTAGTGATGAAATGATGCGAATATGCTTGCTGGACAGACAGGACAGTTGGCTTTTGATAATGGTGACATGAATAGGCCAGGTGCTTTAACTACAAACCCAATGTGAAAGGAATTGACCATGTGTGTATAATGCACTCACTTATGTAGATGACTGACTTTGAAATGACTTTCGATCCTGCGATTATTGACCAAGTTTCGCCAGCTGTTGGCCTTATGTTTGTTCTGCTGTTGTTACTGAGCTCTATATCAAGCCATTTGTGTGTCTAGCTCATCAGCTTGAACTGATACCACAACCTCATCCCAGATCAACAGCTTGAACTTGAACTGATACCACAACCTCATCCCACTTTCCATTTTATGAAATCAGATGCTTTGTAGCTGAATTTATTGTTTTCCATTACGTCGGCAAGATGCTGAGAATGATTGTCTGGAGATGCTGATTTTGGAAATCAATATGAAAAAAGCTCTGTGTGTTTGATGCTTTGTAAACGTACTGTGGGCAGAATTGTAGGAAAACCGTTAGTGTCTGTCCTCTACTTCATGTTAAGTTGTTGTATTGAAAGTGATTCTTACCTGAAGGGTTAATAAGACTGATAATATTGATCATGTTACAGTGTCAAAGAAGTAAGTGGGCATTGTGCTGAACTAGTTCTGAGTTTCTTTTGATATTAGACAAACATTAAACTAATGAGAGTCTATTTGTTTCACTAATGACCTACTGGTTGCCTTGCCTGTTGTCTTGACTGCCCCACATGAACCATGGTCACAGCTCATGGCTGAGTCACTTCATGAAGCTGTGTCCGTTGGGGGCAGAGCTTCAGACCACAAGGCATCTTTCATCCACAACCACAGAAGGTGGTCCAGGCATTAAGGTTGGCCATTTGAGATAGTGCTTGACACTTTGTAGCCTCAAGCAGTTCATCCATTTATATGAATTTATGATTTTTCAAAGTCACGATTAGGAGATAAACATCATGTGTTGGCGAATTTCCGGGTGTTATTGAGTATTTGAAGCACGGGAATTCATTTGAAACCGACGGCGTCAGCCGGAGGTTTCAAATGGAATATTCCCATGCTTCAAATACTCAATAACACCCGGAAATTCATTGGCCAACACATGATGTTTATCGACATTGTAAACACAAAAGTAAACCAAAAGGTCCACACACGTTTTTGTGTCTGCACTCATTGACATAGAGTACGGGTACAGCAGTGCAATGTCATCAGCCGGCCGTTTCAGCTGGTTTCCATAGTAGCATCTAGAACTGCTCATTTGTGACGTCATTCGGACTTTACGTCACAATATGATTTGAATGACGTCATCTCAGCTGACGACGTAACAATACAATGGTATGAGCGATGTTTGTATGTATTAATACGCAGCGAATTTCCGGGAATCGAATACCATTTGATCACGTTTTTCAACCAATCAGATTAAAGAACACAGTGAATTTGGTTTACAATATGGCTTAAATATTGCCGATGTGACTATAAATCTTAACTCACTCACTGAAGCAGCTCATGCTGTAGTGTGTTAAATGAGGTGCATGAGGTCAAAATGTGTAACTTTGCTGATTGTGGTGAACCAGTGTCAAAATTAAGGAGGGTCATTTGTGCTATGGTATTTGAATCTAGGCACCTCGATGTCTTGATCCTTTTCACATGAGCCTTATGACAGAGTGACTTGAGTTGCAATGTTGATTTCAAACAATGT